AGATAAGTGAAAGAATTGGAGAGGGTTTCAAGGGAAGCCAAAGGACATAGAGTGACCATACTATCTTTATGAAACTATTAAATTCAAAAGGGATAGACAGAGTGCAAGAATAAGGACAAGAATATATCCCCTTAGAGTTACAGGAACTCACTTTCCCTTGAAACTACTGACCCATGAGTGAGGTAAAATGACAGAAGAAAAGAACATAAAGAAAAAAGAAAAAATGGTAAAAGGAGAAGTCTGAGGGCAGGAGCAGGAATAGAAAGGGAGACGAGGGATAATGTGGAGCAAGAAACTGAGTTGGAGAAAGAGGACAGAAAAAAGAAAGAAATTGAAGGGTGGAATGAGGAAAAGAGAGAAAGAAAAAAAAAAGAATTTGAAGGGCCTCTTTCAGACTGTGTCTCTGCTGTCATAATATACCACGTGCACAGCCATGTGCAGAACCAAGTCCCCTGATCTCAGCTAGCCAATGGCAGGTCCCAGCGACTCAGACTGACCTCAGGCCACAAGGCCTAAATTGAGTTTCCCAACCTGCAGGGTTGAACACACAGTTCTATTACAGGTTTCCCCCACCCTTTCTTTAAAGAGGTTCAAAGTTGGGAGCTCATAAAAATACCCTTTATAACCACCTATGCCTCTGCAGAGTGGGTCCAAGGACTGGCCCAGTCAGGAGGTCTCAGAGCACGCGGGTGTTGGGGGTCGTGGGGGGTGTTTCAAGGGCACCAGGGCGGCTACCTTCCTCGCTGGGGCTGATGTCAGAGCAGGCCGGAGATGGCACGGACCAGCGGGGCCCAAGCAGGCGGCGGGAGAGATCTCAGGGCGGCCTCCTCTGCAGCGGTTTCCACAATTAAGGGCAGGCTAATCTCACTGCCACCTCCTCCCCACTTCCAGGATGGCTCACAGCTGAAGAACTCTAGTCCGCAGCGGGCTGTTTGTTCAAAGTTCTAAAAGGTTCGCCATCACTGCTTTGCGGGGACATCGGTATAAACCAGAAATGAAGGGTTTTTTTTGTTTGTTTTTTTATCCTTTGTTAAATATTTATCTTCCTTGTTGTACAAGTTGCCCCCCCCCGTTTTTTTATTTTTGTTTTTCTGTTGTTTAAAAATTATACCCATTGCTGCCGTTCTTTAACCCTGTCAGTTGTCTCTGAACTTCTGGATTTGTGGTTGATAGTTCTCATTGATTTTGGAAATTTTTGCAAAATTCCCGTTATATTGATACCATTATAGTTATCTCAGTCCTTGAATAAAATCCCCCTCCCAAGCCCCCCCCATCTTTGTTCTCTTTGCTTTTCAGATTTGGAGGTTTCTCTTGAGATATCATCAAACTCAGAGTTTTTTATATCAGTTGTGTCCATCAGTGATAATCTTCATTTCTGTTATAATGTTTTTGATGTCTAGCATTTTTTTTAATATGGGGAATTTTTTATTATTACGTGTTTGTGATACATATCAAATACATAACCATATTGCATCTTATTTTTTTTAACTTCCCCTCCCCTTTTTCTCCTTTCTCTCTGCTTCTGTGACTAGATCCCTTTTCCATCTCTGAGATTTTTAGTATTTTTATCTCTGCTTACGATGCCCATCTGAACAGGCAGTGAAACATATAATCAGATTTTATTTGGGGGAAGTAAGAAATACAGTAGATGAACATTTTGATTCTGATATATTTGTTTTTAGAAATGTTAAAGGTGTATGCGTGTATCTTAAAATTGAGGAAATTGAGCAGTCTTAGAAATCTTTCATGATGAACAGTTTGCTCCAAATCAGCTCAGAAATAAGTACAAATAATTTAAAAACAACAAGCATAACTGTGGAAATAGGAACTAGAGAAACACCAGTTACACCTGATCAGTACTGAATATAATTCTGAAATTATCTTTCTGGGCCACATGATAGCCTGTATTATTTGAAGTGTTAACTTCAGTAGACCACCCAGTTAATTTATTCATGGTTCATGTTATACATTTGTCTAAAAATATGAAATACAGAGAATAAGTTGGTGAAATAGTAAACTTAATTATTTCACTTTAAATTGCAGGCTTTCCACTCAACTTTTAAAAATAAAAACTTCCATAATTATTGATAAAATTTCTATCATTATGCTACACATTTTGAAGCTCTGGTGTTTTGGTGTATGTAGGTTTATAATTGTCATATATTTGGTAAATAGATGCTTTTTTAAACTTTCAATTTCTTTTTTAAAAATTAATTTTATTGGTACACTTTTGATTTAAATAATGATTACATTCATCATAGGGGATTTGTACCTGTGTGTAATATATATATTGATTATTCTTTTTTCCCTGTTCCCCTCCCCTCCCTTCAACCCTTCTTTTCCACCCCATTTGCAAAAGCTTTGTTTGTTTTTTCCTTTTCCCTTCCTGCCCTTCCCCTCCTCTCTCCCTTGGCCCCTTTCCATTTGAACATTTTCTTGCTACTTCTCCGTATTCATCAATCCTTTTATCAATATGTAAAGTCCTTATTTGACTCCTAACACGTTTTTTATTAATGTTTGTTTTATCTGATATCATGGCCATCCGGCCTATTTGCTTATAATTTACTTGGAGTATTTTTTTCTAGCCTCTTCTTTCTGCTTATTTTTTTGTATTTAGCTCTAAAGTGACTCTTTTGTAAGTAGGTCATGTCTTTTAATCCATTTTGATTTAAGTTTACATGTAAATGCTAATAAGGAAGAGCTAACTTGCCACTTTTTTACTTTGCTTTCTGGATATCATATAGCTGTGTGATCCCTTCTTTTCCCCATTACAGTGCTGGGACAGTCCTCTGCTGATTGGCTGGACTTTCACTGAGCTTAATGGTCAGTTTAAGGTGAAAGCTTAGGTCTTAGTCTTAAGGCTTTTCTGAACGTGGATTTTCTCTCTGCCAATGTGATTCTTCCCCTTGTATTTGTGGCTGCATGTGAATGTCATAATTTCTCACGCTCAACCCTGCTTTTCTTGGGCCCTTATATGGTCAGTTTAGCCTTCTACCATGACCTATGGCCCCAGGCAGCAGACTTGTAGCTCTTGTACAGTTTTTGTATTAGGTGCGCACTGCTTCTCTTATTAGACAAGACAGGACCAGCTCCCCAAGACCCAAGAGAGGTTTAAAAGTGGTCAGGGCAAGGAATTGGTCACTAGGCGCTGCCCTCTTGAGACCCAGCAGAACAGAAGGCATGGGGCAAGAGCACAGAGGCTGCATGTGGCTTTTTTTTTTTCCTCCCCATTTTCTTTTCTCTTTTTTTTTTTACATAAGGACATTTTCTTTGGTACCATAGGTCTTTCACTCTTTTTAGCACTCTTAAGTTAATTCACCTGATTGCTGGTTGTGTTTTGATATTTCTGTAAGAGAATGAGAGCTTGAAGATTCTTTGCCATTTTGATATTTCCACTTGAGAGTGCTATCTAAATTAAAACAAAACAGTGTTATTGAAGGGAATTTAGAAGACCAGAATTATAGAAAAGCTTGAAAAATATTCCTACCACCCCAGAAGAGTCACTGTTTGCACTTTGGCTTGTTGTCTTTAAGGCTGTTACTTTCTGCATCTCTTTCTCCTTTTGTCCTAGTTTTTCTTGTTCCTCTGCTCTTCTACCACCAATAAAACATAATCTTAAGTGTGCTAATTTTGAAATGTACTTTTTGTTTTTCATTTACCAAAATACTTTGATAAATAGTACAATTTTTATGTTTCTAAATATTGTAGATAATTTTGATTATCACTAAATTCTTGGATTGTATTGTAGTTTTTAAACTTTTATTCAGAGTATAAAAATTAAATAAGCAGGTATGAGTAACCTATGTTTCCTGTGACTTAGACATTTCTGGTATTTTTATGTCTGAAAAAGTGGCACCCCCTCGATTATAGGGGTTGGCCCAGACCACTTAGGAAGAATCTTACCTCATTTGGGCACTAATATAAGAATTTAGGTGGGCATGTAACTGTTCATAGGCTAAACATGCTTATTACTATAAATCAGTAACAGCGAAGACTTTAGCTGGATGGTGGTGCACCCCTGTAATCCCAGTACTTGGGAGGCTGAGGCAGGAGGATTGCTCTGAGTTTGAGGCCAGCTTGGGCTACATAGAGAGTTCAAGGCCAGCCTGAACTATATATCAAGACCTTGTCTTAAAAAACAAATATGTTCACCTGTGCTGTACCCGTTATTATATTATGACTTATAATTTGCCCTAACTTTGCATTGTACCTTGAGACTATTTATCTTTTGGTGACAATAAATAGTATACTTGATGCTATATGTAGACTAGACTTGGGAGATCAAGGAAGAGTAACTTGGGCCAGGGATCTAGCTCAGTAGTTCTGTCGCCTGCCTCACAAGCGCAAGGATCTGAGTTTGATCCCTGTACAAAAAAAAAAAAGGAAGAGTAACTTGAAAATCATGCCTAAGCTCCTCTGTCAGTACCTCCTGCTTCAAATAGAGACAGTTACAGTTCATAAAGAGGTATCCTTTTCCTTAAGACAGTGTATAGGAGAATAAATTAGAAAGTGTGTGATATCAAGTTTTATACTGAGGTACAGTATGATTAATTTTCTTTGTAGCAGCCCTTCCTACTTTCTATAGCTTCATTGTTTCTTGCTTTGGTCATTCATTATTGTCTATAATGAAGGTTTAGACTTATTTCACTGACATGGTAATATAATACTTCAACTAGGATTTTTTTTTTATAGTGATTAACTTCGGTGTCTGGGAATACATTACTATTGAAAGTGTAGACTATAGTATTAGGTACCTAGTTTTAAAGAACACAGACAGTAAAACTAAAGCAGTTGTAAAATAATTCTTGTAAATGTGAATAATTTGATAAGAAACTAAGTACGAAATACTTATTTTGGTATGGATCTTTGAATTGTATATTCTAATGTCAGTTACTTGTTAGATCGAGAAGTACTTAAGTGAATGAAGTTTGCTTATTGCATTCATTGGGTGAAGTGGCTGCATCTAAACAAATTTTTTTTCCATTTTCTTCCCTCTTTAGGAGAATCTGGATTGGGAAAGTCAACATTAATCAACTCATTATTCCTCACAGATTTGTATTCTCCAGAGTATCCAGGTCCTTCCCATAGAATAAAAAAGACTGTACAGGTATGTATGTTAGTATTGTGAATTTAATGATAAGCTGGAATGATGCTAGCACACACTCATACTATTAAAGTTTATTTGCTTGCATAGAGGTAAGACACAAATTTCGGCCTAGACCCAGTGTTAGGTGGCAGGTATGACTCTTCAGGCTTTAAAAACAAAAACCCCAACCCTATATTCCTGTTTTGGTGAGTCTGAGGTGGAGTTGAGTGCATTTTGCAGGTGATGTTGGTGGCTCATACTTTGTATCACAAAGGGCTAGACTCCAGATCTGTACTTCTCAGTAGAGAAGACTGTGAAGTGATACAAAAATTTAAAATCACTTACATAGCTCACATTGTATTTTTGTTTGGTAGCACAGCTCTAAACTATTGAATGAGACAATTGTTGGTGAACTAAAGCAGAAATTTGCAGCATATGAGAGAGAGGCGAGAAAAGAACAGCTTTCCTTAAAACTACACTTAAGGACTAGTAGTGGTTATCCTGGTGTACAAGATGGAAGGACAGCCTGATGTAGGGCAAACTATTAGGGCCCTAAGAAGTAGTTTCGTGAAGTAAATATTTTATCTCTTCTTAAGAATTTATAAGTGTTCTAGAAATTTTTATTTTGTTTTTGTTGTTTTTTTCCCCCTTAAAACCTTCACTGGGCTTGCTGTTTGAAATTATTTGCACAAATGTCTCTTAAAAACTCTTATGGCTTATTTTACAATCAGTATTGAAAATTTTAATCCTAAGTGAGAAAGGTAAACTTTTAATTTTCTTAATTTATTTATTTAAATTCAACATGAAATTTTAAATGGATTTGATTATTATTAAATAGAATCATAAGTTCAGAAATATTTGATGTAAAAGATCTTTTAGATATTATTTTTGGTGACTTTCTGGTGAGGAAATTTTCTCAGTTCTCTTTATTGTTCTTACTTGCAGCATAATGTCAGACCTCCATTAATAATAAAACTTAACATTTTTTTTTTCCTTTTTTGGGATGGTGCCGTCCTACACACTTTAGATGTGTCAGTTTATTTGAATGTTACAGTTTAATGTGGCAGGTAATAGTATTACTCTCATTTTATAGATGAGGACACAAAGGAAGAGTGAGGATATGCCTAAGATTATGACGGGCTCAAATTCAGATAGACTGTTCTGTTCTGTGTTCTGTTAGACTATGTATGTATTTTATATTATAGATACTTAAGGCTAATTGAGTGGATTAGCCAGCTCTTAAGGAATATTTTAACTTTGTATTACTCTTCCACTCCCTTGTGGATAGTGTTTTATCTAGCAAATTATCAATTTTCTTTTGGTTTATTTTCATTTTCCTTTTATTTATTTTTCCATTTATTTATTGATTGATTGATTGATTGGTACCAGGAATTGAATTCAGGCTCTTGCGTTTGTGAAGCAGGCCATGGAACCACTGAGCCAAATTCCCGGCCCTTTCATTTTCCTTTTAAGTTCTAACATTTTTTTTCCCCCCAATGGGGAAGTTAAGACAAAGTGAAGTCAAAGGAGTTGATCACCAAAGCCATTTCTTCATCATAGATACAGCATACGTGAAGACAGTTAAAAGAAAATAGAAAATGCTAGGCTATATGACTATAACATCAAATGCCTGTTAGTAAATTTCCTAGAAGAAATTAAAAAAAATTAATTGTATGTTTGCTGTTTATTAGGCTTGGATTTGCAAACTGGTCTCAAGGAGGTTTTAATTACCTTTAAGGTTCCATGTGTGAAATTTCGATAAACTGTTGGGTAGGTGATGGAGGTCATTGAGGTCATCATAGAAGATTTGTATTTTTCCATGTTTTATTTGAATAAAGATAAGATAAGGATACTTGCTCTCTTGATGCACCAAGGCAGTAATTTCTCCCAAGTGGCTGAACATGTGAAAGCACTGATAGGACATAATGTAATTCTGAGAGCTGAGTCCATAGAAGTTCAGCAAAATACCACTCAGATAATGAGATTGCTCATAATAGAACTGTGCTTATTCTCTTCTGGGCCACATATTGCAAAAGTCTGTTAAATAGGATGCATATCAACTTTTCATTGCTGATTTTCTCCTTTGTGTGATTGTGAATTTTTTTCATTTTTATCATATTTTCTGTTTTATAGTTAGCATGTTTTTATAATCAAAAAAAGGAAAGTGACCACATATTTAAGCAGAGTGTTTTATGAATTTCCCTATGTGTATATTATGTCCAGGTGACTATAACTAGATTAAATATTTAGCATATTTCTACCATCCCAAAAGTCTTCAACTTGTTTCCCTCTCAATCCAGTATTATACCCACCTCTCCTATGGATAAACACCTTGCTAACTTCTATCTCCATAAATTAATTTTACCTATATTTGAACATTTTAAAGACACACTTTTATAGCTTGTTTCTTTCACTGAAGATTATGTCTGTATTATTTATTCATGTGGTGGTAATTGTAGTTCTTTTTCATTGCTGTGTAATATTCTTTTGTTGTACCATTATATGCCTTTTTAGATAAGCATTTGAGTTTTTTAATTTTTTATGAGTATTCTTACATATCTTTTTGTGGATAGGCATTTCTGTTGTATGTTGAATGTTGTGTGTTATGTATAAAAATACAAAGGCACTTTAGTATATTTTCTTTCGTTTTTTGATGTGTATGAATGGGTCATTACCTGCATAGGTTTAATTGAAGTGTTGTTGTCATTTTAGTATTTCCTGTCTTTTTCTTTCTGATATGCAGGAGCTCCTTACTGAGTAGTGTCCTTTGCATTTTGGACATTGTAGGTTTTTTCCCATTACAGATGCTGTAGTATATCCTCAGTTTATTAGAGTTCTTCTCACTTTGGTCTAGCTAAATTACACTTTCTAAACAGACTTAGCTTCCTTTAAGAAACCCCCAAAAGTGTCTTCTGTGGTGAATGTCTTCCTGGCTCTTCCTGTCTGAAGATTGGGGGTGAAGACAGGTGCACTACTGTTTACTCTCTCTTCTCCATGAACAGTAAGATCTGTCACATCTGATGACCACATTGATCCTAACTGGAGTCCCAGAGAATTCCTCTCTCTTAACTGAACCATGAAGTGTTTCTTTGTATATTGGAAACAAGTTGAAGATCATACATAACATATTACAGGCCTGAGCATCCAAGAGGTCTGACTGTAGTTAGTAAATGGAATGTGGCCGTCTTCTAGTGTGGCCGTCTTCTCCAACTAGCTGTCTCCTCACCAAACCCGGTAGTCTAGAGATGATCTGCCTTTGGAAGCTAAAAATTTCTCTCAGTGAGTGCAGGGAAGCGGTTACCAGTGTTGTATCTTAACCCAGACATCTCAGACCAGTCTTGAGTTTCAAAAAAAGGGTCTGAGATTTTCCTGATGTGAAGGCTTTTTGAACCCTTCCAGCTATAAGAAAACACTCTCTTCTCTCTTCCTCCTCCCTCCTTCCTGAGCATATCTAATTACAAAATACTTGTATATTAAAGGAAAATGTGTTCACTTTCAGTCTAGGAAGATAAGTGTTGAAAGAACTGATTTTCAGACTCCTTTAAATCAGTGGTTCTGGCTTGAGGGAAGTTCTCAATCTTAATTTAGAAGCGCTTTGCAGTTAATTCCTAAGCTCTGTCTTAGACCTAAGGACCCTGCATTGTGCATTTCTAGGCCTCAACTGATGCTGCTTACCAGTGGTTCTCCAATTTGAACTCCTGTCACCTGCAAGGACTGTTAACACAGATTGCTGAGTCCTCCCCTGGAATTTACAATACTTTAGGGATGAGGCGAGGCCCAAATAATTGCATTTCTAGTAAGTTCACAGATTGTGCTACTGCCTGCTGGGTAGTACACTTTGAGAGCCCCCTGCTCTCTAGTGTGCTGCCTGCTGCGCTTTCATCCTGTCTCTGTGGGGAGGAGGCAGGAGAGGGAAGTGTTCTTCCTTAGTATTTTCAGAATATTTCCAGTTGCATGAGATAGTGCCACATTGCTTTTCTTTCCCCTGACAGATATTACAGAGAAATGACAAGAAAGGAATCAGAGGTGTGAACTACACTTCATGTTTTAACCTCAAATATAGATTTCCAGATTGACAAAAGATTTTTAGAAATATATCACAAGCAATTAGCAAAATTTTATTTCACAAATTGTTGTATTTGAAAATTATAATTTACATCAGTGAAAGATTGTCAGCTGTCTTTCTTTGGGAAAAACTTTTTTTAAATTTAAGATTAAATTCGTGTCTTTTATGTATTAGATTAAGTCTTTTGTGAATTGACAGTGTTTTTTTGTTTTGTTGTTGTTTTTTATGTTCTTAATTGGCAGCTTTATGTTGGTCCATGTTAGAACTTTCTTAGTCTGTGATGTATACTGTAAATTACTATTGTGGATTAAATGGGTACAAAATTTATGGAGGCGAGTAAAGGTAAAAGCAGTGGATTTTGTCCCTAGCCCTAGAATAACATGCTTTATAAACTTGAGACATTTTTGTAGAGCCCAGATGGGAAACTTTGCTATATACTGGCCCAGTTTTTATTTTTCTGAGCCATTGACATAACAGATATCTGAACGCTTTTCATACCAGGTTTAGAGGGCTACTGAGATGATAGATGCACAAAATTCTCAAGTGAAAAACACAGTCAAACAATTGTGATTTAGCAAGCAGGGTGCCACATAGATGTCCTTGGCACCGCAGTGGAGTGACAGGGAGAGAGCAATAGGCTGGGGTGAGACTTGAGCGGCAAGTGAGGCAGTGAAAATGGGTGGTCGGTCGACTTGAAGGAGAGGCGGAGGAGGAATACTGGAAGTGAATGGAAGGACTGAAGGAGGGGTTTGCCTCTTGAGTCTCTTAAGTGGAATGAGGTACCCTGATGAGCACAGTGGTAGATGTAATGGAGTAGGGGGCTTAGGAAGAACCATATGGGCAAGGGAGGGGCAGAGACTAAGACTAAGGGGCATGTAAAGGGAGGTTAGATGGTGGAGAAGCTCCTGTTGAGGTTGAATTGAAGGCTATGGAGTTTATGGTAACAACAGAAAGATGTGTAAATCTTTCTGGATTACTCTCCAATGGGATATGGGCAGGAAAGACAGAGGAAAGGCTGGGCAGGGATTTGCTACTAGAAAATGAAAAGAGCAAGGGATTTGAGATCTCACTGTGAGGAGATTGGGGAGTGGTAGGCAGTGGTACAAGGGTAGCAAACAGTTAGAAACTTCACATAAGCTTTGCTTCTCAGTACACTAAGGTGGTTCTGGGTCTTGCTGAAAATGAAGAAGGCTCCAGGCATAATTCTTTTTTTGTTTGTTTGTTTTTATTTTTTTTATTTGTGACAGGGTCTCACTGTGTAATTGAACCTGACCTTGAACTCACTGTGTAGCCCAGGCTGGCCTCAAACTCACAGCAATCCTCCTGCCTCAGCCTCCTGAGTGCTGGGATTACAGGCGTGTGTGTGCCACCACGCCTGGCCAGGCATAATTCTTGTATTGGTCATTTCTGTTTCATTTTTAATAATACTTTGTTTAAAAATAGCTTAAGTTTAATGTACTTAGCAGTCTTGGTTATGGAGGTTTGACTGTTTCCACTTTGGAATCTAGGAAGCCAAAAGAGGCCTTCATAAATTAATTATACATAAACTATATAATGGGTTTAGTTTTATTTACTTTTCAAGAAGAAACAGTTGAAAAATGATCCTGCTTTCATTCCGTTGGTATTAAATTATGCACTTAATCTTAGAGAACTGTGAGTGAAATATGCTGGTGTGACCTGCTTAGGAAAGTGCATGGGAAAATGGCCATTTGGAATAGATTTGTTAAGAAAAGTTTGAAATTCCTGGACTTGAACTAATTTGTTTTCCATGGATCCCATGAGAATATTTGAAAAAGCAGATGATGGGATACACTGGATCCTGTTGTTACAGTTAGGTTTTCTGGATCTCTTCCATATGGTACTGACCTGACTTCTTTGTATTTGACCATGTATGGATAACATAGAATTTCATAGGTCAGATAAGAAAAGAAGCTTTGTGCTTTATAAGTAGACTCTTTAAAAAAAATTTTTTTTTTTTAATCAAGTCAATAAACAAGTTGTTGGTTAGATTTTTCCCTTTTATTTCTTTTTTTTGAGGTACTGGGTATCAAACTCAGGACCTTGCACTTGCAAGGCGGTGTGATGCCACTTAGCTAAATCCCCAGCCCTGTTGAACTATTTTTTAATTTTTGTTTTTAACCATATTCTCATCCTTGCCTTTGTTTCAACTAAGAAAACAACTTAAAATTTAAGCTGTTGTAGTCAGGTGTGTGATTAGTATATAGTGTGTCACTAATACAATGGACTGTATTAATAAAGGAATAGAAATGGTTTAAAATAAAATTGGGAGAACATTCATGTAAAACAAATGTGTTTTGCATCAAGTGAAGGGGTGATATCACTTTGGGCATTTTTGCTTTAGTGACTATTACTATAAATAAATGACCTATTTTTATGAAGAAGATGAGTGTAAACTTGATATATTTTGACACGTTAGATTTGACCAGGTCATCCTTCTACTAGAGGACCACAGATAAATAAAACGTTGTTTTTCTAACATGCATGAAATAATATTTAAATGTATTGTTTTGATAATTTAACATTGATAAATATCCCAACTTATTTATTGGTGTTTACTTTTTACATTAGTCAGTTTTTCCATTACTAGGACAAAATTCCCAACATACACAACTTAAAGGAGAAGAGGTTTCTTTTGGCCCTTGGTTTCAGAGCTTTCAGTCCATAGTCATCTGGCTCCAAGGCAGAAACACGATGAAGGATCTGGCAGAGGAAAGCTGTCCACCACATGGCAACCAGGAAGCAGAGAGGGAAGCAAACCAGAGAGAGGTGTAGCCTTCAGAGGCGCGCTGTTTAACCCCCTCCTCCAAACAAGCCCCGCCTCCAGCAGCCCGTGGCAGCTGGGAGCTTGCTGGAGGTTCAGTCCCCTGATGAGGTTAGCACGATGAGTCTGTGGGGGACACCTCATATTTAAACTGTAATACTTTTTAATCTACAGAGAAATTTATACTTATTAATATTTAATATTCTCTCTAGTAGTACATATTTCATAGATAAATATAATTATATTCAGGATGCTCAAATGTTTCACCAGTAGTTTATACCAAGATCAAAACAGATTGAAGAGCACTGATCATTCTGCTGTGTCAAAAATAGTTTAATATGGGGCCAGGGATGTAGCTCAGTGGTGCAGTGCCTGCCTGGCAAGCATGAGGCCCTGAGTTGGATTTTGAGGTACCAAAAAAAAGTTTAATATATGTGCTAAGTTGTGTCATTTATACTACTAGAGTGTCTCAGTTCATTGAAAAGAAAGTTTTTATACTGTTATCTGTTTCTTCTTTGTAAAACAATCTTTTTTGTCTGAATAACTAAAGATAATTATTGTTCTCTTACTGTCTTATCAAGTTTTTACATTTTTTCATAAAATAAATGTATTCTAAAGCTAAAAAATAATAAAAGATAGGAAACCCCTGCCTAGACATAGATATCTAAATCTTAGACAACTTTTTTAGTTTTAATAATTTTTTTCTTGATAATAAACCTCTTTTACCAAAAAGCTGGTGGTGGTTATAAATGTGCACTGTGTGCTTTGGTAGCCACATCTATCTTTTTAAATCTGAGTTAATGCAAATTAAGTGAAGCTGAATATTCATCTCCTCAACTGCACGTACAGGTCAGCATGTAATAGATTCGAGAAGCCCCTGGCTAGAGAGCTGCCCTGTTGGACGGTGCAGATGAAGAGCTGTCCATCATCTAGCATGCTGGCGGCCATACTGCTACAGACTTCTTGCTCAGCAGCCTGACTTAATTTAAGCTCCTAGTCTGTGCATCCACAGGCATTTGTAAAAACGCCAGAAGTTTAGAACTAGAAATAAATCCTCTTTTATGGAATCTCAAACAGTATACCACTTTTCTACCTTGAGATTATCACTTCCTTTTCCACAGTTGTCTAATAATAGAAATGGTTGGTGTTGCTTTTTGATTGCGTTTTTCACTAAGGCTCATTGTCTGCCTTTATGCCATTTTATGGAATTTAACTCTCAATTTAGAGTATAATTTTTGTTTCTTTAAGTTAGCCTGTCAGCCTACATGGTACCTCTAGATTTGGCAGACACTTGATAGATAACTAGAGAAATTCTTCCCCTTTTTTGCTTGAATCAAGTGTTTGCTTTATTTCAGGCTCTTAAAAGCTGATAGTTTGCCATTAACCACAACCTGTGAGGGCCAGGGATTTAGCTCAGTGGTTCTGCCACCTGCCTATCAAGTTCAAGGTCCCGAGTTTGATCCCTGGTACAAAAAACAAAATAACAGCCTGTGTTCACTTTCTAATACAGATTTTGGGATTACAGAAAATCTTCAGTTGTGCCAGGAACTATTATTATTAGTGCTTAAGACTTTCTCAAACATTTAAAAAAAAAATGAATACATATTTTCACTTTGTAAACCTATGCCTATTGCATTGTCCAGAATGTGGAGTATCATATTTGAGAAGAGGATTGAGTCTTAGCCATTACAGAAATATAATCACAGCTGTGCTGAGAAAATTTGGGAACGGTAAAAAGTAAACTTGAGTAGTTTAGACCAAACTACTTGGAGATGGTCCCAGAAGACATTTACTGTAAATGGTAGATTTGATGTGCATGTCTGTCTAATACAGTTGACAGTTGAACTCTAAATTACTGAATCATTAAAAAAAATGTTTATTTGTATTGCAGACATGCATTTGGGTAATACAAGTATTGTAAGTGTTTGGAGGTTACCACTTATCTGGTTCCACTTTCCTTTGTTATACTAAGTAAGAGCTGTTAACAGAGTATGAATTTACAAAGAGATTTGGAAACTATATTTTTGTTTTTCTTTTAAGTAGGATTCAAGTGTCTAGAGTCATTGATTCTGAAGAAAAGGGAATGGATTTAACTTGTAGCTTCCAGATTGGTTTTGAGAAACTACTGATGTAATGAATGATATCAATACCTGCACCAATGACTCTTACAGGTGGAACAATCCAAAGTTTTAGTAAAAGAAGGTGGTGTTCAGTTGCTGCTCACAATAGTTGATACCCCAGGATTTGGAGATGCAGTGGATAATAGTAATTGGTAAGAAATACTCATTTTCATTGCTTTCCAGGGCATTTGGAGGTACTGGGGAGATTAGACTTTTTTTTTTTAATTGAGTTTATTGGTACAATCTAGGTATACAATGCAGTTACATTCATCATTGGGATTCTGTACCTTTATGTAATAGGTCTTGATTCTTTTGTCCCTGCCCTCCCTTCACCCCTTCTCCCCTCCCCATTTACAAACACTTTATTTCCATTTTTTCAGTTTCTCCTATTTTTTTCCTCTCCCTTATTACCTTTCCCCCACCCGTCCCACTTTCCCTACACCTTTAGCCCTTTACTTCCTATTTCACATTATTAATTATCTCATTAGGATCCTGATATGTTATATACAAGAAACACACCTAGTGCAAAAAGAAGCCCATAGACTGAAAGTGAAAAGATAGAAAACAATTCTCCATGTGACAGGAGCCCAGAAAAATACAGAGGTAGCAATTATTTTCAGACAAAGTAAATTTCAAACCAAAACTGATTCTATTATCGATGTAGGACGGTACTGTATCATACCTCTATGAATGTAAAATATCTTGTACCTGCTTTATGATACATAGTAGGGACTGTGCTTTATCAGAGCTACATTTAATGATATTACTCTAGAATGTTCTCTTTCCAGATGATGATTAAGATGCTAATAAAATAAAAATGGTCCCAGGTACCACAACAGCAACACAACTTTTCTGTTTTCTGGATATTATTCTTCTTTTCTTTGTTTTTTTGTTTTGTTTTGTTTTTAATGGAATGTGCTGAGATTAGACTTTTTATGTTTAACATTTTAAAACTTCTTACCTAGTGAAGATTGTTGAAATTGTTCCTATGCCATCTTTGCTACTTACTTGGAAATGTTGTATTACGTAGCTTTTTTATATAGTAGAGTTAATACCTATTGTAAAATTATTTTTAAGACATTCTAAAACTATATAGTTAAATACAGTAATTTTCATAGTAAGTTTAAAACTTTTTGCTTTACTGCAATTTTATCTATATGTATAAATTATTTTCTGTCTCATCCTAATTTACCTAATTTTTAGACCTTCACTTTTTTATAAGTACATTAAATACCCAATGAAACTTTAGTCTGAAGCGTTTTCTTTTGTTTCATTTTATTTTATTGTGAGACAGGGTCTTACTGTGTAGTTCAGGCTGGCCATGAAATGATAATCCTCCTACCTCAGCCTCCCAAGTGCTGGGATTACAGGTTTATGCCACTACACCTGTCCTGAAGCATTTTTCTTAATAATTTATAAATAATATTTTTAGTTTTGAATTCTACATTGCTTTCGAGGTAATTTTCTCTCAACTCTTAAAACTCAAAAACTCACCATAAACTTTTTATATTGTTTGTATTAATTGCTTCATTTGAAATTTAAAACTAATGTGTTTTCACATTGTAAGTATCTTAGAATTGATAGTTATTACTGCAAATAGTATGAATTAATTAGCTGTGTTTTGATAGTAAATAATTCTCTTTGATTTACAAAGTTTCCAAATGATGGAGATTTATGTAGTATAATTTTTTACCTATTTTGAATCAGTGTGAAGAATAAGTGGAGATGTCTTACACTGGAAGATTGGCATTTACCTAATTAAAAATATTGATTGTTGTCCTTAATTTTCATCACTTGTTCATTCATTTGTAGAATTGGAACTTAATCATTTTGTCTACACTCTATAGCTGGCAGCCTGTGATCGACTACATCGATAGTAAATTTGAGGATTACCTAAACGCAGAATCACGAGTGAACAGACGTCAGATGCCTGATAATAGGGTGCAGTGTTGTTTATACTTCATTGCTCCTTCAGGACATGGGTCAGTAGTACCTTAATGCTTCTGATGCTTTGTTATTGTTGTTGCTGCTGCTGTTGTTTGTGCATCTTTAGAATCCTGATGTCTATAGAGCCATAACTGGACCAATTATACAGTACCATATTCCCTGGAGAAATGGCATGAAACAACCCTTCAAAAACCCTGCAAAAGCTAACAGTGATTTTGCTTCTTAGTTCCTCATGCTTGAGGATCTCACCTCATGGTAGGAAACTGTCTTTCTCGCATGGCTTGAAGTATCAACCTGACTACTTCACTTTTTGTTTGACTTTATTTTGTCACTCATTGAACTACCAAATGAGGAACAGCAGTAACCATGAGATTTAGACATACTCTCAGGGACTCCCAGTGTGTTAGTAGAAGTCTGGTAGAAAAGGTAATCAGAGCTTAAATGCCAGTGTTGTTTTGCACAATTTCTTTCTTTAGTAAATGTCTGTTGACTCCCGTTTCCCTTAGTGCTCAAGGTCCCACCTTTTAGTTTTCATACCATCAGGGCCAACCTCTTCTGTAGCTAGATGTTCATCTGGTCTGATTGTTATTTTTGTTAGTAGTTAGCATATACTCCCATTATTGTTACTCCTTGTACTCTTTTGTTATTTTGACTAGATATGTGTCATTATTAGTTGTTGATGTTTCTATTTACTTTTTTCCTGGTATCAGGGATCAAACTCAGAACCTTGCACTTGCCAGGCATGACACGGTACCACTGAGCCACATCTCCGGACCTCTGTTTACTATTCTTCACTCTTTTGTAGGACAAATGGCTGTCATTATTCAGCCATATCGTCTCTCCACCAAAAGGAACTGGCTTGTGTAGACTCAGGCCAAGTAGCATTGTCATCTGTCCCCAAATTACAGTAGTGAAAACCAGTTCCCTCCCCTTTCTTCTGTTTTTGACTTCTCTCTGCATCTTTTTCCTAGATGGAGAGATAGCCTGATGCTTATTTTCACATTTTACTTTCTTAGTGTAGCAGGAAGCCATGATTATGTATGTAGTTACCATTTTTGAAGTGTCAGATTGGAGTGGTGAAAAATGTTTCTTTTATATCTAATATTCTACAGTGTTCTGAGAAGTTTTATATCACTTAACTGACTCATCTACTTAAGCTGGAAAAAAAATCTGAAAAATATGACACATTGTATATCCTTTTATGAGTACTTTGATAGCTGCTTCTTGAATTTTACATTTTTAAAAGCCATTCTGGTTTAACTTGTTAGCACTTTTTCCTGGAAATCAGCTGTGTGATATCTTTAATCTACAGTTAAGTCAATAGAAATTAGCCAGTTTATATCTTTTGGACTTTCTCCAAGCAAGTTTTAGTGATTCTCATGAAATCACATTCCTCCCACCCCCCTGGGGAAAATCTGTTTCTTAAAATTGCATGGGAAATAAAAGGGTTTTTTGTTGTTGTTAAGATAATTTTTTTTTTCTGTGATTGAAATGATGTGTAGTGGCTTTGAGCCATTTCTTGTTTGTCACAAGGCATGGGAGTTCCCATGTATAAAAATGTATATTTGAATAGTTTCTCACTTAACTATTTTTAGGAATGGAGTAAAATTTTGCCCATTAGTATGTGATGCTGTAGATTAAGTGAAAGAATATGACACTGAATTTTATTTAGAATTCCAAATACTCTTCTCATGTACACCAAGACTCCATGCAATCTTGTCAATGAATCAAGCCTTTCTATCTTGTTTGGGTATTACTTAGATTCTCCTTTTAGAAAGACCTGGTTTTTAAAGTAATAGTAAATTGGCTCATCAGTGTGTACTTTTAATTCCTTCAACCTCATCCTGCATGTCATCACTGCATGCAGGGTGGTTTTGTTTGTTTCTGTGGTACTGAGGATGGAACTTAGGGCCCTGGCACAGAGCAACAACCCTCCCACCCCCCCCTTCCCAAGGTGGTGTCTTGCAGAGTTGCCCAAGCTGGGCTTTAACTTGGATCTTCCTGCCACATCCTCCTAGAGTGTTGGCTTTCAGATGTACATTACCATACCCATACAGTTTAGATTGCTATTTTATCCTTTTAATATTGATTACCACTTTTAAAAAAGATCAGTGTCATTCAATGAGTTTTAGGCCATTTTTTCCCCTTAGAAATAAATACATACAAAAGCCAGGCATGGTGGCACACACCTGTAATCCCAGCATTTGGGAGGCTGAGGTAGGAGGATCACTATGAGTTCGAGACCAGCCTGGGCTACATAGTGTGTTCCAGGTCAGTCTCAACTATAGTGAGACCCTGTCTCAAAAAGCAAAAAAAAAAAAAAACAAAAAAAAACAAAAATAACCCCCAAAAACCCCAAACGTATATTTAAATAAATATTTGTCATTTGTCTGGTAGTCATTTTTTTTGCTATTGTTTTTCCTTGAATGTGAATTCTAAAAATAACTTTCTGTTTTAAAAAATCAAGATTTAAAAATTGAGTTTGATGATGAAGAGATAAAGGGACTAAAGAAAAATTTCACCTATTATCTGCATGTGAATTAAATACCTTCTGCTGTTGACATTATGTAAATTTCTGAAATTTATATACTGATTTAAACAGCCATAAGAATTTTATCAAGCCAGGTTTTACCTTTTCTCCTAGTTTAATTTTTAAACTGATTTAAATATTCTTTGGCCTTATGTTTTATACTTTAGAAGCTGACTTTCTTGATAACCTATCATGATTATTTTTTAATGTCTTTCTCCTTATAAGTTGAGGTGGTATAATAAATAACAGAATTAAACCAGAACTCTTCTGTTTTCCTTTTAATTTGGACTTTTTTGTTTTTGTTTTTGTTACTGGAGATTGAACTCAGGACCTTGTGCTTGTGAGGCAGGGAAAGGAACCACTGAGCTAAATCCCCGGCCCTTCCTCTGTTTTCTTTTTAGAAAGATTGTTAAGTTGGATTTGACTTTTTAAAAATATTAAATGCTCTTAGGATTATTAAATTTTTAAGTTAACTAAATTCTGCTTTTTTCACTGCTTTAAGCAGACAAATATATATAAAAGGAGATATGAATCTTTATATAAACTTATATAATGGCTTAACATGGCATTGGTTATTTAAATTTTTCATGAGTATAAACTGGGAAATGAGCTAAATATCTAGAAACCTGAGATTGAATTGACCATATAAATGGCTTCTATACTTACTGTAGGTAATGATTGATGAAAAGAAGCAGAACTTACTTATTTCACAGAGATGAATAGGATTTCTGTTAGTATCAGTGAGATGAGTGCACTGTTTAAAGTAATACAGATGCTGCAGTTACTCCAGCCACAGTCTTTCTTCCATAATATCCCTTGTTCTCTGAATGCCTGTAACAAATTCCAGGGCATTCAATATAAGGGGAATTGGAGTAGGCACTGACTTCTCTATATTTGTTTCCTTCTTTTCCCCTTTCTATGCTGGTCAGCCTCATCACTATATGTAGTATGTATTCTTCAAACTCCTTAAACTCTGTATCCTGATGTTCCCAATTTTAGCTGTATGTTTATTTCTATTTATTTAAAAATATTAAGCAATTTAATTACTAAGTCAATATTCATCAATAAAATTAATAACAAAGATGTTTATTCTGTTTTTCTCATTGCTTTATAAAAATTAAGAAATACCACTTTAGCCAGGCTTTATGGCTCATGCTTGTAATCTTACCACTCTGGAGGATGAGGTGGGAGGATCACACATTCAAGCTCATCAGCCAAAGCAATTTAGTGAGACCCTGTCTCAAAAAATCAAAAGGTATAAGGGTTATGTAACTCAGTGCAAAGGCCTGGGTTCAGTCCCCAGCACCACACACACACAAAAAACCTTAGAGTGATATTCCTATGCAAAATGTTTTTATTATCTTCATTTATTCTTGGGGAACATTACTTTTTAGTCCCCAGTATTCTAGATCTAAGGACTTTCTTTGGTTTTTATTTTTAAAAAGGACATAAAATCGTAACAGTTTACTTTTTTTGGTCAACAAACCTCTCAGCCCCTTCAACTCTTCAGCATCTTATGCTAGGTGCTAATGCTATAGATGAATGAGATAAAAACCTCCCCACTTGGGATGCTCTTTTGTGAGAAAGTGGGAGAAACATACACAGGAGGATGATTATTGTATCACACATGAAGTGTGTGACCAATTAGAAAAACACCTTGTCTTAGTTAGAAGAGGATTGGAAACAGATTGGGAGCCAGGGCCAAAAGGAGGAATAGGAATCAGGCAGGTTGGTTCAGAAGACGATGGGATTAGAGGATGTTCCAGACAGAGCTCCTGTCCTGTGGGAATTATGAGAAGTTCAGCAGGACATGGCACGAGATAGGCCAAGAATGCTGAGAGATGAGGCCAGCTGGAGAAGCTTTGTCCTCAAGCTGTCTGAGCCACGATGGCTGAGGAATCTAGCCTTCAGTGTGGTTTTCATTCAAGTAATCGCTCGTTTGTTGGCTGCAATGTGGCTAGCTTGTGGAAAATGGGAAGGCTTATACAGTTGTCCATTCCAGAGGTTTTCGTGGCCTGAACTAAAGTAGTGGTAATGGACACTCTGGCATGAGTGCACAACACACAAGCATACACACGAGTGCACACATGTATTTTTTCTTCAGTGAGTCTTGGTGAATCTTTGAAAATATGAGTCTCAGGTTTCAGGCTCAACTTATTGTATTGGGTAGATTTCTAGAGTCATTCACTGAGATAGGATGCATAGAGATTCAGAATGAGCTTTTGATTTTATGGTCCGAGGGATGTCCCAGTAATACATCCACTAGATAAATGCTACTAAGGAATTGAAGAGTTAGGATGTAAGACTGGGTATTAAGATTTAGGAGTTACTGGCCCATACAGTAATTGAAATCTGTTGTTGTCATGATAACCATGCAGAATATAGTAAGAGAATAGGGCTTACTGGAGAATTTGGGGGAATGCATCTCTTTCAGGGACAAGCTTACAGAGGATCCTGAGAAGTGCCCTGATGATCCTAGAAGAGCCTATGGAGCAGTAATAGCAGATGCAGTGTAACGGGCAAGTTAGTGTGGTCAGCACCACAGAGAAAGTGTCTGTGACTGAAAGTGCAGTGGCCAGGTGGTGGAGCGCCAGGTTGGAATGGACAGAGATGTTGGAGAGAGATGGTAGCAAGAACTGAATCTATAATTGACAGCTACCATTTTTCATTTTAAAAAACTTGCAAAATTTTAGTAATAAATATAGAGCTGAAACATGAAAAAATCCTATTAGGACCATTTCTGGTTTTTCCAATTCCTCTCTGAGACCCAAACCCGTATGACCAGGGCATTCAACAGCAGGAGTCAAAAAGCCTTCTCTGCCACGCTAGTGCTTCTTAAACTGTTCTTCCTAACTGTTGGCTGGTCCAGTGCATGTTGCAAGGGAGCATTTCTGGTAAGTAAAGTAGTTCACTGCATTTAATTGAACACTGGGGACATCAAGAATCTGTTCCCCAAGTTGATCACTGTAGTCATATTCAGTACTATGTATTTCAGACTTAAACCGTTGGATATTGAATTTATGAAGCGTTTGCATGAGAAAGTGAATATCATTCCACTGATTGCCAAAGCTGACACTCTCACACCGGAGGAATGCCAACAGTTTAAAAAACAGGTGAGCAGAATGAATTAACTCGTGGACTTCTCTGGTTGTTCCTGTACTTTTCAGTTTTTGTTTTTAGTGTAACAGACATGTTACAGTCTTGAGGCTTCACTGTATTGTTTATATTGTATTACAAATAACTCTTGAAAATAATCTTTTGCCTCGGTTTTCTTCTGAAAGCTCTTATTCAGCATCATAGAACCCATACCCTTTGTCAGATTAATTGATTAATTTTCAAGACAAGGTCTCACTGTTAGTTCAGGCTGGTCTTAAACTCATGATGATCCTCCTGTCTTGGCCTCCTAAAGTGTTAGGATCACAGGTGTGTACCCCCGGGCTTGGGCTTTGTCAGTTTTTAAATAAGTCCATTTTTGTTTGTTTAGAAGGGTCTTGTGTAGCCCAGGTTGGCCTTGAACTTGTGGTAATCCAACTGCCTCAGCCTCTCAAGTGCTATGATTATAGGTGTGCCCACTATACCCAGTGCATAGCCTATTTAAAATATATTCTTTTTTACAACCCCTGTCACCACCCTTTAGAATTACTGTCTTAACATGAATTTCCCAGAAGAGGATTATTCTTCAGTGGCTCTGACTTATTTTTATGGCTCTTTATACCAACCTCTGTATTTAGGCTCAGTGCTTTCCCAATAAAACAATTGGTTCTTTATATAATAGGCATCTGTTTCACTGTGACCACATCAGCATTTATTGTCATTTTTATTGTAAAAACTTCTTTGGAATTAAGTGTTACCAGTTTTTGGTTTTTGTTTTTTTTTGTTGTTGTTGTTGTTGTTGTTTTTACTTTTCAAGTATATACTGAACATTTTTTAAAAAGCAAAAGCAAGCAAGACTGTTCAGTTTTTTTTCTGCCCCCCTCAAGACTATTCATTTTTTAAAACTTTGTTTTATGAAAATCTTGTTCAAAATGTCTTTGAATAATAGTATATAGTTGGTATTGCTTATATGTATTTATATAGATTCTTCTTATTTTGGATGTTTAGCTCTTATTTTCACAAGTCTGTTTTCTTTTTTCTCTTGTTCCTTTTATCTTAATTTTGTTTTCATTGTACTTTATGCAGTACACACACACGTGGTTGCACACACAAATTTAAGCTTTTTTTTGAGGTCCACTTATCTCAGTAATATTGAGTTAAAGACACCTTTTCTTTGTTTTGTTGTATTTGGTTTGTTATGTCTCACGTCTTATGAAATTAGGCTGAATTTACAGAACTCTCTTCTATTCCACCATTCTTTTTTTATTTGGTGCCAGTATTAATGTTTTTCAAACCACAGCAACTTCGTATCGTACTTAAAAAACAGATTGTAGCATTATCTCTTACTGTACTTACAGTCCTTTTTGTAGTAAAAAATTTTTTTCATACTTTTCAGTTTAAAATTTTTAGGATACAGTACCTTGAAACCTGTTACAGAAAGAAAAAACTTGCTTTGAAGTTGTGTTACATGCAGATAAACTTGGAGAATGTCTTGTACATTGTTTTTACTACACTTAGTATTTTCACCAGGAGTATGTTTCTCTGTTTTACATTTATTCATTCCCACTTTTATTTTATACTGTGGTGTTTCTAAGTTTCAAATCATATATTTTCCTCTTCTGTCTTGAGTTGCATCTCCATTTGGATTTGTACTGCTGACTCAGAAATCAAAAAGATAAATAAATAATGACACATGCTTCCATAGTGGTTACAATATAATGGTTGTGCGGTTTTGTTTTCCCTTTCTGTCTTTGTTTCACAGGGCTGGACTTTGTGTTTGTTTGCACACACTTCACCACGGAGCTACACTCTGAGGCCTTATTTTCTTTTATTATATATGTAATATATAATAATGGTTCCTATTAATGGTACCTATCATAATCACCTAGAAAATTTCTTCACAATGATTTGTTGGGCCTGATTGCTCTGAAGTGGTTCTGTAGATGAAGGAGAGGTTCTAGTATTCATTTTGAAAGTACTCACTCAGATTTTGTTTTTTTTGTTTTTTATTTGGTATCGGGGATCAAACTCCCGACCTTGTGTTTTCGAGGCTGATGGTGGAATTGCTGAGCTAAATGCCCGTCCCTCATTCAGGTCATTTTAATGTACGGCTCCTGACCAAGAACGACTGGTCTTAGCACTAACGACAGCTGTTTCTTTTTCTCTGCTAACCTTATAGTCGTCAGCTTGTCCCTTATTCTCATGGTTTTTTTCGGTGTAAGAAAAGCCCTACTTTGTAATAAAGATACACAGTGTAATAATAATTATTTTTTTACTGCTTAGTTTTGAAAGTGTTTTATTTTTTCATAAAATAAAAAGAAAAACAAAGATATGTGGCCCCCGTTTTTTCCAGTGATTTTTTTTTTGTTTACTTCTAACTAGTGTAGTAACCTCATAACTTGGCTTGTTTAAAGTACTTTTGCTACACTGGGGAACCCCCCACCATGGGAATAGCACAACATATAAAATGTATGGGGAGGGAAGCTAGTAGTCGGTATATTAGGTATAGATTTTTTGTGAGTTTAGAAAGCTGGGCATTTGAAAATTACTTGAATGTCTGTATTTCCATTCAGAATTGGAAGTGACCCCCCCCCCCGGGAGTGTTGCTGGGGATTGAACTTGATTCCTTGCATTTGCTAGGCAGGCAGTGCAACCACTGAGTTAAATCCCTGGCCCTGGAAGTGATTTTTAACAATGTAATTTGAACTAGGCCTTTCCTGATGTTATTAATATGTTTTCACCTTTGGTTTTCTACATTCTTCTTATTAACACTTGAGCTTGTCACCTGCTAGGCTGTGTTTTCTCCTTTGAGCTTGTTCGATTGTGTGTCTGGTGCTCTTTGATTTGTGAATATATACATGCACATGCAGGGATCTGTAAATCTTCCTCTTGGAGCCAGTGTTGTACTTAGTTCTAATTACTCTCGCCATGGTTTGCTAACATTTTTAGGTGACTTTAAGCCCCATTGACTCAACTAAGTAAGACAATTGATGAGTTGTGTCCAGAGAAATTTCAGTTCTAGTAACTAAATGACCTAAGGTCATTGTAGTAGAAACCAACCAAAGAAATCTCTTTCTAGAACTTTAAAGGTGTTTTGGAACTCCTTTGGCATGATAACCATATGACTTTAATACTTCTGAGATTGACTTTTATATTTATATATCAACTTTATAGTTTTTAAAAAATAGCTTAGTCATTTGATATTTAGATTTTGGTTCTGTATCATTGAAAAACAATAAAGAACCAGAAACTGAGGTTCATAGGAATCCAAGAAGTATTTGATAAAAATAGGACTAATACTGATTATGTATGGTGCTCTTTTGCTAACTTCTACATCTATTTTAGATAATGAAAGAAATCCAAGAACATAAAATTAAAATATATGAATTTCCAGAAACAGATGATGAAGAAGAAAATAAGCTGGTTAAAAAGATAAAAGTAAGTTATTCCTATACATCTAAATATTTTCTAGCTTTGAAAGCATAGTCTGCTATCCATGGGAAAGACCAAAAATATCAAAGCATAGTTGGCTTCCAAAATAAATAGGTTATATAATGTTAAATTTAGCTTTGCAGTTAACTTTGTTGATTAGCTCATACATATAATGCATGGAATAGGTTGGTACTTTAGTCCAAATGGCTTTCACTTAACTGTCACCATATTTACACACACACCACATACACATACACATACACATACACATACACATATACATATACATATACATATATCCCTTAAGAAACAAGAATGGAGAAGTTTCATTCTGTCAATGTTTTAATCTGTAAGAGCCAGACAAATGTATTTCATTTGTCCTTTTATAAAATGCGAACCGCAAATCTACAACAGAGTAATTTTTCTCATTCACTCATTCATTCATTCATTGGTTAGGTGCCAGGGATTGAACTTGGGTCCTTGGGCTTGTGGAACCACTGAGTTAAATCCCTAGCCCTAATTTTTCTGTTTTAGTTTTTCATGGTTTCCAAGTATCTCGGATCTAAAAACTACACACACACACACACACACACACACACACAGTGCACCAAAAAATGCATACATCAAGAAAGAAAAAACTTGTATAAATTTTTTTGTGGGGAGTACTGCAATCAAACTCAGAACCTTGCCACTTGCAAGGCAGGTGGCGGAACCACTTAGCTAAATTCCCAGCCCTTGTATAAATATTTTAATACTAAATTTATTGAGACATCATGAGATTAATACAAGTTACTTTCAGACTCTTCAAATACAAAAGGTGCTCAAAGTGGTGGCCATTGGCTTCTAGACATTTATTAGTCCTGCAAATCATTGAAGTGTATACACTTTTTTTTTTTGCTGGACTCTGCCTGTCTGTCTGGTTGGTTTTTTTGAGACAGGGTCTCACTCTGTAGTTTAGGCTGGCTATGACTCATTATGTAGCCCAGGCTGGCCTTGAACATGTGGTAGTCCTCCTGCCTCAGCCTCCCAAATGCTGGGATTACAGGAATGCACCACCATGCCTGACCCTAAAAATAGTATATTGAATGATGGCATTGTTTAAGCCTATCTAGTTATCTTAGAATTAATGAAATATTTATTATCTGACCAATGAAGAATTTCTGAGGTTTTATAAAACAGCTACATGTATGTTTGTGGGAGCTGTATTCTGAAAGGTTTTACCCTGATTGAGTGTGGGTAAACACAAATATCACTTGGATTTGGAGTTCCCAAATCCAGAGTTTAGCAAATCTAATATTACATGTTGCAAGTATTGTTAGAATTGGCCTGTGGTCAGACAGGCTACTTACAAACCTCATTTTCTCCCCCTCTAAATGCCAGTATGTTTTTTACCCTCTTTCCTCCCAGTTTTTTTGAATGATTTTTTTTAGTACATAATTTGACCAAATTTCAAAAAAAATAAATTTATCATTGTTTATTGTGGTAGTAATGGCATTTTACTAAATGCTGTGTTATGACAGTTTACCAAATACTTATTGACTGGCCTATAATAGTGAATGTAGAAACTGACACAGTAGTCTGTCTTATTATTCTTTTGACTAATAATGTCCCTTCTGTGTTACTTGTGAATTACGAGAACTAAGGATTATACGTGAATGAAAACACTTTATTTTCTAGGACCGCTTACCTCTTGCTGTGGTGGGTAGCAACACTATCATTGAAGTTAATGGCAAAAGGGTCAGAGGAAGGCAGTACCCTTGGGGTGTTGCTGAAGGTAAGGTTGTCTTCAGTGAATGACTTTTTTTCACAGTTGTGTTTAAAAATTTGTGTTTATATTAAGTGGCATAATGTGCATATTCTTTGGATTACTCTAGATTTTCAAGGATAGCTCTGATTTTTTTTTTTTTTTAGTCTCACTTACCTTGTAAGTACAATCCTGTTCTTTAGACCTCTTGTCCTCCTAAGTCAGGCAAGTATGTATTAAATCCTAAAGTTGTGATACTTTAAAAGTCAGCTGTCCCTGCTCCATGCTCTGTCCCTAACCCATCAAGTTAGTTTCTGTTTTGGTTTGGTTTGTTTGAAAACATACTTAAAATTCAGGAGGTTTTTTTGTTTGTTTTGTTTTATTTTAACCTGGGTCTTAAAAAGCTTTCTAAGGGAACTACTGAACCCTTTGATAGGGAATAGTTTGGAGAGAAGACCCATCTGTCACTTTCATCTGAGTCTCCATTGGGTCAGGGACCCTCAGAAAGATGGAAAGCATTTATGAGCCCAGTTAAAACATTTACCATCTTCTTTCCTCAAGACAGAAGTCACGTTTTGGTAGTCACATTCTTCAGAATAAAAGAATTTTTTAAAATTTTGAACACAGGCTCTTGATATATAGTTTAGGCTGTCTGTTAACTCACTACATAGCCCAGGCTGGTCTTGAACTTGTGACAATCCTCCTGCCTCAGCCTCTAGAATAAAAATTGTATTATGAAGAGATCCCTTTTACTAGTTTTATAAGGAGTCTTAAATACGAGTAAAATCGTAGTTGTAACATCAACCCTCAGAAGTCCTCTTAACCATAGTTGTGTTTCCTCGTTTGTTTTATTATATTGACTTAACCTAATATTTAATCTTGCAAGTTGGAGTCACTGTTGTTTTAGCTCTTTGTTATTATTTTGAACAAGACTGATTTTTAGGATCTTGTTCCAAGTTGTTATCCCCACCAGTGACCCTGTCCTTTGTGCTCAGCTCTGTCTTGCTCAGGAAACTGCCATTGCTGGCCCAAGACTTTAGAACTTACCTGGCCCTTAGAAATCTGCCCTGGACAGTTTTGCTTTGTGTCTTTAGTTTGTTCTGGTCCCAGCCCTCAAGGAATGTTCCTATTAATGATATATTTTTTAAAAATGAAGAATCTTAGTTTTTGTGTGTCTTTTTGTGGGGAAGGTTATCTCTTAGAAAGATTTTTATTAGATGATTTCTCCCTTTACCTGTAATACTGAATTTTTAGAATATATTTTATTGTAGAATAAATAATTTTTTTGCCAGTACTGGAAAATACATGCTTTCGCCTTTCAAATTTTCAAGCTTGTTTTCTTCTACAGAGCTCATTTATTAGGTTTATGAAACTGTCACTGAAGATATGATTATAATAAAGTAGAACTCTCATGCAATTATCTGTCATTTCCTTGAGCACTAAGATAGCATTAAACCTTAATGAAAAATTGATCTGAACAGTTCCACATACTGTTTCCTCAGTGAGATCCTATGAAATTTCCTTTGAAAAGTCTGGCTGTACTCGCAATAATATATGTCAATTTTTTTCTTACAGTTGAAAATGGTGAACATTGTGATTTTACAATTCTAAGAAATATGTTGATAAGGTAAGTGTGAACAGTAATGAAATAGCCTAAGGCTTTTTTCCCTAATAAAGTTAGAGTTGGACCACTTTGGTGTTTGCTTTTATAAATGTAGCTAATTCAAAGTGGCATCTTCATTCTAGCGATGAAGGAAGTACTACATGGAGATAACTTGTGTTCTTTTCTAAGGTTAAGTCGTCGGCAAAAACACAAAATGGGTTATATGGCTAGGGATATGGAGGAGCATCAGTCTCTGTCATCACTCTGTGCCTTAAGGTTAAGTACTGAAATAGGCATGGAAAGTGGAGGACTCTTGTTCTTGCTCCAGGTGAAGAGCGTGGGAAAATGACAGAGGATAGTTTTTGAGTCAGAAGTGGGGACTTGGCACGTAGGTGTACACCGTGGCTCTAGTGAGTGGGTTATTTTTGTATGCGGGGACACAGTGAACAGAATGGATCTTCCCCGGGAGAAGCGTGGTGACTGCTGACAGGACTGGAGGTGAGGCCCTAGTGAGAGGCCAGGGATGGGAGAAACTCGGAAGAGGGGAGTCAGGGAGTCACATGCCCCTGCAGAAACGTAGTGTCCTCGTCTTGCTCCTCACTCTTCGGCTTCTAGGCATGGACACCCATCTTCAGTCCGCACCTGCCCTTTTCATGCTGTGCCTCGCTTTTCTACTGCACAGAGTTTTGTTTTGTTTTAAGCTTTGTAAAGGTAAAGAATGCCACGTGGGTGAAAGGCTAGCTCAGGGTGCTTTCAGCATCTCCTACCATTGAGGAATGATGGCGCCATCTCACATGAATTGTGTAGATAGAGTGTGTCATTTATGTAATGAATTTACATAATCCCTTATGTAATGAATTTATGTATGGAAATATTGGAAGCAACATTTCTGTAACCATGATAGCACATTTGCTGGACAGTTTGGATAAACAGAAATTTACTCTAAATTAAAATTTTTCAAATAGAAAACTATTTGATATGTGCTGAATTGTCCCTATGTATTAATCTAGTAAAAATTCTGATATCATTTCCCTGGTAGAATAGCTTAAGCAAAAGTAATTACTTACAGATTTTATGAACTTCAGTAGTTGCTAATCTAGTCTCCCTTCTTTAATAAAATTAAATACAGGTATGTACTTTAAAGGTAAATATTCTTTTGCAGAAATTTCATCTTTTAATAACTACTTTGATTTATGGCTCTCACAATCTCAGGTGGAATCTATAAGTCTGATCTTTTGGTTTTGCTAAAACTTTGACTCTACATCAAAGCTTTTTTAATAGACAGAAGTTCTTGCTATTTGTGATAGGACACACATGCAGGACTTGAAAGATGTCACCAATAACGTGCACTATGAGAACTACAGAAGCAGAAAACTGGCAGCTGTGACTTACAATGGAGTGGACAACAACAAGAACAAAGGGCAGCTTACTAAGTAAGTGTGGGTCCTCTCCTCCGGGAGAAGCAGCATTTCTGCAGTCACCATACTGTCTTGTTTCCACCAGATATCTCCTTGTTACTCATTAGAAAATTTAGATAAGGTTCTCTATGTACAGGAGCATTTGGCAGTCATCTAGTACAGTTGTTTTGTCTTGTTCTTTAAGTAAATCTGGTCATTTGCCCTTCCCATTATAATCCATACACAGACAATATATAGTTCCAGTTAAGAATCAAACAGACCTTTTAATAAATAACGTGCTTTTGAGGAAAAATAATAGTTACTACCAAGATCTCTTAAACCCCACTTTACATTTAAAATAAATATTCTATGTCCTGTTTAATAAGAGCAGATTCTAACCATGATAGCACATTTGCTGGACAGTTTGGATAAACAGAAATTTACTCTAAGCTTTTAAAAACAAACTTCATTTTGGAGAAATTTTCATCCAGATTATATGGAAATAAGGGACAGTACCAAACGAGGAATATTTAGATGAATGTGGTCTTGTTACTTCCTCTGTTCCTATTGTGTATTTCCAAGAGATGAGTTAGGTATTTGGATTGTTTCTGCTGGCTGTGAGAATGGGTGTCTGCCAGGCCTGAATCTTTGCCCTTTTGAGCTCATATCTTGAGCTAGGGTGGTTTCTGGTGGTATCAAAGATGTGCACCCGCCACATGCCTGTGAATCCCAGCACTTGGGAGGCTGAGGCAGGAGGATTGCCAAGAGTTCAGGACCAACCCTGACTACACGGTAAGACCCTGTCTCAAAAAACTTAAAAAAGGGACTGGGGATTTAGCTTAGTGGTGCCTGAGCTGCCTCACAAGCGCAAGGTCCTGAGTTTAATCCCCAGTACAGAAAAAAAAAAAATCATTAAAAAAAGATAAGTGAAAAAGTTGGTGGTGTTCTTGGTATGCCTATGCCCTCTTTTTCCTTATCTGGGATTATTGAAGACCAGAATGATAATGAAAACCATTTTAAATAATATACAATTGTAATTGGGCACTATCTACCATTGGGAAAGAATCCTGAAGGACTATCTATATAAATATGAGAAAAATAATTTCTTAAGCTAACAATATAGTGTTTTATAGCAGGCAGCACTCCTTATAATGGCATAGAAAACTGTCCAATTTTTCTATTTTAAACACAAGATTTAATTTGAGGTAAAGTTCAATGAATGACTTTTTGTCTCAAAAAAGTTTGTATTAAACAACTTTAGCACAAAAATGTAAAGATCATAGTGAATGTGATTCATAAAATCCTAATACATTTTGTTTGAGGATTTTTTAACTATTTAAAAGAAAAACATACACACAAAGCCACTAATAATATTATAACACATTTAAAGGCAAACTAGTACCAGTATATATTTCTCATTAAATGTGTACACTTAATTGCTCAGTTTTAAAATTTAAACGTTCATTTTCAGACAAAAATTAATTACTCCTAATTCAAACATAAGGCTTTTAAAGTTGTGGTGTTTTAAAGTTTCCCTGCTGTTCGGTTTGGGAAAGGGAGTGTGGGGAAGAATGATAAAACTTAAGAGTATCATTGAAATTCCTTTAGCATGTACAAAACTCCGCTTTGTAGGTTTAACTTGTTAAATTGTTACCTAGATTTTTTTAAAAAGTAGAAATAGAGTAAGAATTGTATTAGAAATGCATCTCTTAATGATGTGACTCATGATGGAACTTTGCCTGTGTCAATAAAGAAGCTCGTACTATTAAAAAGCAAATTGCCCTAGGAAAAGTAGAAAAATAAATGTTTTCAAAGCAACTGGGGAATGGCGCTGATTGGAATAGTATTTGTTATGATCTGATAAATTAGCTTTTTACTGCTTCATTAAATAGCACATACTAACTTGAAAGTAGTCACTTGGAAATTTATCCATTAGTTAGACCTTACGTTGACCTGAAAATGTTAGCAACTTCAAGAAACATTCTACTTAAATTCATTTTTTTAAAAAATCAGTATCGCCAGTTGATGGTGCTTTATCTGCCATGATTAAGAAGACTAATGCTTTACTATATGTAAGCAGTGCAAGTTCGGGCTTCTCACTGATGCTCTTTATTATTCTGATGGACTCTCCCTCCATAGCTGTGTGTCTCTTGGGAATGGTACCAGGGATAGCATGGTTGACATTGGAGTGGAAGAGGCAGAGTCATTAAAAAAACCCCCACAAACTTGGCATTACTCCACCACCTCACTGTGCTATGTAGCTGAACTCAGAGCATCCTCCCAACCCCCCACCCTGGTCCCAAACACCCTCCTTCTAACATGTAGAACCACATTTTGCCCATAATGGGAGCATTTTGATGCTGGGAGGCTGGGTCCCTAGTATGGCATGGTCATCACTGAGGTATGTGTGCCTCGAGTGTGTGGTGGGTGAGGGCGTGGGCAATGTTCTGTAAGGCAAGAGAAGGGCTGTGGGGCCTGGAAATTTGCAGGGGTTTGTCTGAAAGTTGAGAGTCTAAAAGTTGGTTCTCTTAAAACTCCCTGTGCTTGAGTAACTCTTGGAAGATTTCATGCAGAGTCCCCAGTTTTAAAACTACTAAACTAGACAGTTTCTTTGGTCCCTTTAAAAAAAATGTGCTACCATTTTTCAAACATTACTTTTATGATATCTAAGTATAGGACATCTGTGGACAATTTGAGAAAAACAAAATTAATTATAATGTCATTTATTCACCTGTTGGTTGCTGATGCACCTGTTTTTCACTGCCCTTAATATTTCTGCACATGCACACGTTATTTGAATATTCGCATGCATGCAAAAATATGTGTGTGAACTTAAAACTTGTATTACGAGTAAATTAACCTTTATATGGTAATATATAGTTTATGCATTACTAATCTCACTGGTGTAGAATACAAGCTAAACTCTTTAAAAAGTTAGACATTGAATAGTAAAGTAGATTAATTTATATTTAATTTTCTGAGTCTGTTCTAGACAGACTGCAGAATGTGTTGGACATGGAATAAAAATAAAAATATTTGCTCCAGATGCCTTTTTGATTTAAAGGAGAAGACGTCACACAGAAAGTGACCTCCCCATCTAGAAGCACTGAACAGGGTTGGAAAGGAAAGGGGGCCAGTGGTGGGCTAGTCTAGATACAGATCTTGTGATCTCCAGCGGGAGGAGAGCCACTTGTTTTTGCCAATCTGCTTGATAAAGTTTTGTGTTTTTTAAAATTTTATTAAGTTTATTGATACCTAAGTATACAGTACAGTTACATTCATCATCTTGTACCCTTACATGATAGATCTTGGTGCTCATTTTTCCCCATACCCTGCCCTCCCTTCACCCCTTCTCCCCTCCCCTATTTACAAAGACTTTGTTTCCATTTTTCCTTTTCTCATATTTTTTCTTGTCCCTTATTTCCTTTCCCCTACTCTTCCCACTTTCCCTATACCTTTAGCCCTTTTCTTCCTATTTTGCATTATTAAAGTATTTTTTTCATAAAGTTTTATTTACTACTTCCCTCCTTGATCTTCCTTTGTCTTTTCCTTAAAATAACATTTGATTGCTGACTCTGAACTATTGTCTGTCTTTGGCATCAGTTAAGACTGTTGACATCGAACTCCAGACTAGGGTACCTTCTATTACCCCTTTTCCACAGGTTTGATTTTTCCATTTTTCTATAACTTTCTCCAGCTGTCAGCATGGGAAAGTTTTATAAGTAACTGGGCTCTTAGAAATTAATAAAAATCAGGGGTTCCAAAGGCTGATCCTCAGAACCTTGATACACAACAGTTTTCTTCTAAAGAGGACAGTTTGCTGAGAATCATCAGGTGCAGGCTGAAGCACGAGGGGTGCCAGAGCCTAGGAGCTCAGCACCAGCCCAAGGAACTTAGGGAGAACCTAACTCTGAAAACAAAATATAATTTCCTAAAAGTTACAAAAGAAAAAACTGAATTTATTCAGTTATGTCCTTTACTCTTCAAGGTCCTGTCATAAAAAATATAGTGATAGTAGTTGGAAATTGGTTTTGTCTATGTTTCTTTTAATGATCTCACTTGGCAAAATAAAATAGTGATTATTGTTTTGTAAACTTTAGGGGAAGTTTTGTTAGTCCTTAAAAAATCTCTTTAAACAAGGGGAAAAAATGAGAACCAAGTCCTGTCATGTAGAGGTACAAGATCCCAATAATGAATGTAACTGTACTGTATCCCTAAAATTTACCAATAAACTCAATTAAAGCTGGAAGAAAAAAGAGAGGAAAAAAAAATCTCTTTAAATGAAATTCCTTTGGAAGTTTTTGTATAAAATTACAACTTGTCTCAATACCCAGTTGCTGGGTGCAGATGTATGTGAGTCTGTTAACTTAGTGTGCTCTTCAGAATGGGCCACTTGCACAGCTTAAACAATGCGTGTGTCATGTAGAATCTCAATGAAGCCAGCCTCATGATCCTGTCACTGGTCACAAGAGAGGGGCAATAATTCTAACTGTAAAGAGAACCCTAGAAGGAGCTAAGTTAGATGTTTGGAGATTTTGTGTGATATTCAGGTTTGTTACAGCCTTTTTTCTTCTTTGCCTTTTACCAGACTTTTTCTTTGGTGGGGTTGCTGTTAATTTCACTGACAAGTTTAGGTTTATAAGCTTTTAGTGTATACATTGGGGGAAGAGTTTCCCTCTAAAAAGCAGACAGGCAGTAGTGTAGCTTGAATGGTTTTTCCAGCTGTCTAATAAAATTTTGGGTCTGGAGAACGCACTAAATGTGATGAGAAAAAAGTTATCTCTTTTCCTGTGTTTTATACACAGGAAGCACATTTGTATTCACATTTCCTAAGTATTACTTAAGATACTGAAAGTGGATTAAAATTAAAGAGATTTGAAAAGAATTTTTTTTTTTCCTGATGAGAGGTTTCAAACAATCCACTTTAGGTATGCATTTTTGCCTACTACTTGAATTTGGTCAGGAGTCAAGTATTTTTTTTACAAGGCTAAAAAAAAGTATCTTAGATGTCAAATAGAAATTTCTTCTGAAAGTGCACATATTTAATAGGTGTAGAACTTTGGACAGGCTGTCAGAAGATAATGGCACAGCCTATTTTTATAGTGGTTTGGCATTGTGATTACTAACAGAATTTGGGAAATAAACAGCTTTAACAAAATTTATCATGAACTTTTGACAGAGCATATACCTTAATTAATTGTGAAGTTGTTGTTTTTTAGTGTTATTTCCTTTGAATGTGTTAAGTCGAAAGGCCTGTAACAGTTGCTCTTCCAAAGGCATAAGCAATTTTACTCTACAGAGACTTGTAATATTTCAGTTTTGAATTTAAAAGCATATCCTAAAACATTATGACCACATTTCTCTGTAGTGTCTTATTTTTCCACAAGAGTTATTTAAATAATAATTTAGGTGACAAGGCTTACTCTTGGAAAGCTGGTAATCTTTTTGTGACAAATTACTATGAATTATTTATATGAATTGCCTGTTCCCTCCCAAGGGTAAAGTAAAATCAGCATTTTATAGGTAGGTTATTATAAGTAAGAATACACATTTAAGTTTTAAAATAATCACAGTTCTCTCTAAAACCTAATTTTACATGTATATAAATATGTTTGTTTTGTTTGTCGTACTGAGGATTGAACCCAGGGCCTCACACTCAGCTGTATACCCAGCTATTTTTTGTGTTTTGAGACACAGTCTTGCTAAATTACCCAGGTTGGTTTTAAACTTGTAACTCTGGCCTTACATCCTAAATAGTAGGGTTGTCGGCATGCACCACTGAGCTGGCTTTTTAGAAAGTTTGTGACCTTGAAACATTGCTATTGAATCACAGCTGTATAATTGGATAATTGAAATTGCTCAAATATATATATTCAGTTATAAGACTATCAATCAAAAATAGTCATTAGAGAATTCTCTAGAGCCTAAAAGGGTATTTTAGGAAGTTGAAGGTAAGTGTGGAATTAGCCTTTGAAAATCCTAGCAAATCTTTGGACCCTTTCGCTGGAATAGTGAGCTTGAAAATAGCTGCCGTTAACATGAGGAATATCTTGTTAGGAAGGATGACATCACACTTGGAGATTTATTTCAATGGTTCTTCTTGGCTCTTGTGCTAAAGTTACAACTTTTCAAGAGCAATAAAGTTGTAAGAGGCCTAGAAATATCCTCAATACCTAGGTAGTGTTTTAGGTATTGACTGGTAGTGTGTCTGTTAAGTTAACAACATGAGTTGGAATTTTGTAGTTAAATACAGTTGTAACATCAGTAGTTGTCTTAGAGGAGATTACAATGCTTGGCATTTTAGTAAAACTAAAAATTCATTTACTCAGTTTCTTTTTTGACAGTTTAACATTTTATTTAAAGAAGTACAACATTAAATTATTTTTTCTAGTTTTCCATTCTGTGAATGTATTTTGAAACAGGGTCTTGCTAATTCACTAAATTGTTCAGGCTAGAAATGAATTTGTAAACTTCCTGCCTCAGCCTCCTAGAGTGCTGGGATTACAGGTGTGCGCCACCACAGTGGCTTTATTTATCATCATTGTAGTTGGTGTGCACTGATTTTGGGGAACATTTTCTAACTGGTGCCTTCTTTATCTAAGGTCCTTTTTCATAACAACTCACTTAAGAGATTTAAAGTTAGATATAAGACCTCATGGAAGGAAATTCTAGGTCCTAAATGTATTTATAAAAAAGTTTCTGGGCTGGGGATTTAGCTCAATGGTTCCACCATCTGCTTCGCAAGTGCAAAGACCCAAGTTCAGTCCCCATTACCAAAAAAAAAAAGTTTCTGAAGAATTTATAACCCATTTGTACATAAAACTTAGAATCTCTGTTCTGTGCCTTAAAATGGTATAAATCTTTCAAAAATTAAATAATAATGTTATCTATAGCATCTAATTTGTTTTCATCAGCTATTTCAGAGTTTTATAATTTCACTTACAGATGTTTAACGATTCTGTATTTCTCCCCTGAACTATGGGCTGAACTGAACCCAGGGCCTTTGCACTGATCTACATCTTAGTACCCTTTTTTTGGCTGTACTAGGGATTGAACCCAGGCCCTTCTCAGTGATCTACATCCTCGGCACCCCTCCATACCCTTTTTTGAGACAGGATCTTGCTAAGCCATTAAATTGCCCAGGCTGGTCTCGAATTTGGCAACCCTCCTGCCTCGGCCTCCCAGAGTGCTAGGCTTACAGGCATTGCCATCAGTACTGGCTCATCCTCAGTATTTTCATTTTTTATTTTGATACAGAGTCCTGCTAAGGTGCTGAGACCTGGCTCAAACTTAGCATTCTCCTGCCTCAATCTCCCAGATTGTAGGATTACAGGCTTGTACCGCCATGATTCTTCTTACTGTTCCCACAGGAGCCCTCTGGCACAGATGGAGGAAGAAAGAAGGGAGCACGTAGCGAAGATGAAGAAGATGGAGATGGAGATGGAGCAAGTGTTTGAGATGAAGGTTAAAGAAAAAGTTCAAAAGCTGAAGGACTCTGAAGCTGAGGTAATCATTCTAATATTCCATCTCTCAGCAATTCTTTCTAAGATCAACTCAGTCAAATTCATAGGTAATGTAGTCTTTCTACATGAAGTTTTTTCAAAGTTAATGCCTTAATGTGATAAAATGGAGAAATAAAAAGCAAGCACTTTGTTTATTATATTATATAATGATACACATTTCAGTATGTGAAAGCTTGGGCATAGAATTACTAACTATAATGAGCTATGAAAAACTTGCTGAGTGATAAAAAATAAAATAAGCCATTTAACATAAACAGTATAATGAAACTAAGAGTTTTATGTGATTGTACAAATACAGAATAATGTTAGGGTGATAGTAATTGGCCAGCCTTGTTTATACATGAGTGAAAAAGAAGGAAACCACCTTAACTGAGACCGGGGACATGGAGAGAAGGAGGGGTGCGCTGCTCCGCCCAATGGGCCGCCTGCACTCAGAGCCTCCCCGCCACAGGTCTGCGGTTCTGGAACCCCGCTGACTAGCAAGGCTGGTGAGGCTTATTGGTCAGAAGATGAAAAGGTGGAGCAAGTGCACTCAAGGTCAGACTCCCCAGAGCAGACGATCCACTGGAGGGGAGTCTGAGCACAGAAGAAGGCTGTGGTGAGAGCCAGTCAGTCAGTGACTTCAGTATATAACTCAGGAAATATTTTAACTAATCTTTAATAATAAAATTTAATGAAATCCTGTTTTATGTTAGTCCATTAATATTTCAATATATTAAAAGAAAATTCCGGCCTTTTAGTTGAGTTCATTGTGCTTGTGATTGCTATATAAAATACTGAAACCTTTTTTGACAAAACATAATAAAAGAACTTACATTCATTGAGGAGAAAGTGTGTGGTATATAAGATTCATTCAATAGCCAGGGATTTAGCTCAGTGGTTCCACTGCCTGCCTCGCAAGCACAAGGACCTGAGTTCGATCCCTGGTACCAAAAGAAAAAAATTTTTTTTTTAAATGTATTCAATAATTTTGAGGAAATGTTTCTGTCCCACATAATTTCTCTTATTATTGGGTTCCTCCTATAAAATCTTTTAAAAATGTCATTGTCAGCCGGGCGTGTTGGCGCACACCTGTAATCCCAGCACTCAGGAAGCTGAGGCAGGAGGATCACTGCAAGTTTGAGACCAACCTAGGCTACATAGTGAGTTCAGGTCAGACTCAACTACATAGTGAGACCCTGTCTCCAAAAAAAAAAAAAAAAAGTCATTGTCACATTTGTCCTGAGCTTAATTTAACAGGGACAAGGAATGCATCTTCCTGGTTTAAAAGTACTGTGTCTCAGCTAGGGATTTAGCTCAGTGGTTCTGCCACCTGCCTTGCAAGCAAAAGGTCCCGAGTTCGATCCCCAATACCAAAAAAAAAAAAAAAAAAAGGTGCTGTATCCCTCATCCCTTGGCACTGGGCAGACAGTGTTCCTAGGCTATGAATATTTACAAGTATTAAGATGGTAATTTGGGGATTAAATTTATTGTTTTTATTTATCAGCCTGTTATTTAAATCTACAACTTTGAGTCTTTACTCACTAATTAAGAATAATAATGATAAGAACTGACTGACTTGCTTCTGCAGTTAGATTCCACTGAAAATCTAAAGATGGTTTCCACTTACATTTGCCATAGAAATAGCCTAAGACCCGTTCCTGAGAGAGTTCGTGTTAGGAACAAGTAACTGGATGTGTAGCTGCAGAGCCCCTCCTGCTGGTCTTGGTTCCGTGACTGGTGACAGCAGCTGAGAGAGGCTGGGTGAAAGAGCAGACCTGGGGAGAGGTCTGGGCGGTGTCCTGTCTGCTGGGCCCAACAAACCTCAGCAACCCTGTGGTGATACGTTTAGGAAACATCTTGATAATTATGTATCTATAAATAAATAAACCCGTAACTGAAGAAGCCTATTTATCCGTGTTTAATGCAGGTTGTCTTAAATCCACTCTGTTAGAAATAACTTGGGGTCACAGCTCTCACACCTAACGGTGGTGTCAGGCATGATGCCAAGCATCTTGCCTGTGGTAGTCATTTCGTCCACATCACTGCCCCTCCCCAGGTAGAGGAGAGGTGGGTAAACTAACTTGGCCAGTACTGCTCAGTGATAAGCCATCCTCTCCACCAGATATCTCTTTAGCGCACGCGTAAGCACAACACAGGGCCACCATCCTGCTCTCCACAGTTTCAAAACCTAAAAGCTGTGGAAAATATGACATGAACTCAGAGTTTTTATCCTACATATCGTGAGTATTTATATCATTTATTGCAAAACAACAGTGGATTATAGTTGTTTCCCGGTAGATCTCAGGAGTTGGTGTGGTACATATCCCTGGCTAAGCAGCATTGCCTTTTTTTTTGGTACCGGGGATCGAACTCGGGTCCTTACACTTGAGAAGTAGGCCACCGAACCGCTGAGCTAAATCCCCGGCCCATCATTGCCTTTTTAATGTCTAAGAAATTCTAAACTTCAGAACTCCCCTGACCCCGATTTCTTGAGAGTAAGTGATTAGGGCCTGTACTTTTACTTAGATGCTGTTCACACCGAGGAAAATTACTTGTTTATAACATAAATACAAGTTAAAGAATGAGCTCCTGAGAGCCCGCTGCCTAGGTTAAAAAGTAGCACTGCACCTGCTCATTTGGAGTCTGTGCTCCCTCACTGTCATTCCCTCTCTTCCGCCAAGCTGGCTACTGTTCTGAATTGTGTCTGTGTCTCCCCTGCAGTTTTCATAGCTAGAAGTGTTTTCTTCTGCTCCTACTTCATTGTTTTCTTAGTTTTCCCATGAGGATCATCTCACCTCATATTTGACTTCCATCTTTGCTTAAATGTATCTTAGGTGGTTTTCTTTTGAAGAAGTGCACGAAATAGTAGTAAATGTGCAGTCACTTTTTATGGATTTAGGAAACAGATTATGTGAGATTATATTATAATCCAAATTCAAGATGGTAACTCACTGATAAATCTTTAATAGAGCATAGTTCCTGGACGACTGAAGAGTTTGAATAGGCCTTGGGTATTTGCTATAATAGGATTCAATCTTTCTTATTTTTTTATTTTTCTTGAGAAATAGAATGACTAGTGGCTTAGTGAAATTACTCACCTAATAATCCCTTTGATTCTGCAGTTACTTTAGCGTTCCCGTCTCTCAGCCAGCAGTTTTTTACAGCATCAGTTCTTGGAGTAGGAAGGAACAGCTGTGTTAGAGTCACTGGGGTTTGTTGAAAATCCAGATTTATCTCCTAGAGATTGTAATTCAGGACATCTAGGTGAGGTACAGGATTCTGCATTTTCTCAAGAAATGCTTTCTTTCCCCAGCTCTATTTTCAGAGCTTCGAATTAGGAGACTAAGTCCTGGCATTGCCACTTTCTGGCTAGTGATCTTGGAAAAGTCACTTACATTCTATAACTGTTTCTGCATCTGAACAGTGAAAGCAATTTGTATTTTTCTTCTCAACTTCCAACATATTTGGGAGCAAATAATAATTGTCCTTTATAAAGTATTGCACAAGTATAAGATTGTTGCATCTGCCCGCCCCCTTTGTCAAGATTATTGTTTGGGTCACCAGGTCTCTGGATGGCAGGTCCTACAGCAGGAGAGATGCCCCTGAGTGCTTCCAGATGGCACTGTGAACCTGTGGCAAAATGTCCCAATGCCCACACTTGTAACATGTGATGCCCAGATGAATCATTCCTCTGCTCTTAAAAGAGTTCGTTTCTTAAAAGAGTTTTATTTTACATATTGTGCTGTTACTTAGCTCCAGCGCCGCCATGAGCAAATGAAAAAGAATTTGGAAGCACAGCACAAAGAATTAGAGGAAAAACGTCGTCAGTTTGAGGAAGAGAAAGCAAACTGGGAAGCTCAGCAACGTATTTTAGAACAACAGAACTCTTCGAGGTAACTAATGTCAGGTTCCTATGAGATTTGTATATTAATGAATCGCTATCCTATTTATTTTAAAACAACCACTTAAAAAGCTATCACTCATTATACATGGCTGGCATAGTGTTTGCACAGGTGAATGTTACGTGCACGGATTCCTGTGACATACTGTGACAGTATTATTTCAGTACATTTTCCATGACTTTATAATTACAGTTTAGCAGCTTCGTAATGTTCTCTCGGGACTCGGCATAATGGATCCCTACCCCGCTACACTCCCCACACCCACAGTGGTTGAACGTAATGACACTTTTCAGTTTTTAACATGCAAAATTTGAATGATGGCTACAGTGACCTTTTATACATGTAGGGCAGTATTTTTATTGTATTCTTTATTTAGGACATCATTACATATCCAATTTCTGCTATGAGGAAATTGTATAGCTAATCAGTTCCTCCTCCTTAATTGATAACAGAACTCAATGCTGTTGTGCTCTGATTTGCTTTTTCTTATTATCCCACTTAGAACTGAAAAGTCCATCCCTGCGAACATTCTGTATTATACTCCTCACAGCCCAGCACTTCAAGATTAGCTGTCCTGTAACACCATCCTCCTGTTAACTCTCTGCCTAAAGAGGAGGAGAGTATATGTGTGAAAACAAGGCGCACTAGGAGCAGAAGGCACTCTTAGTCGGTCTTTTCAGTTTGTGCCATTTCATTTGGGAAAAAATGACCAGGATAGAGTCCCCCCCCCACTTTTTTTTATTGCCTATCCTGGAATTTTTTCAAATATTTATATGTTTAGGGAAATACTGCTGTAGGCCAGCATTGCTTATTGTTTACGTCTAAGTCTTCTGGTTTTGTAAATGAAAAGGCGGTGTCTCAAAGCGGAGCCTGTCATGGTGGGATTAGCTGCCGCCACCGTGTGTTGTCTTTCCTATTGCACCCTAACTGCTCATCTGATTGTTATCCTCTCATCATTTCAGAACCTTGGAAAAGAACAAGAAGAAAGGGAAGATCTTTTAAACTCTCTGTTGACCACCAGTTATGTATTAGTTGCCAATACGCCAGCTTGGACATCAGTGTTTGTTGGATCCGTTTGACCAATTTGCACCAGTTTTTAAATCCATGACAGTGGATTTAACAGCATGACAAAAATTATTTTTTTGTTGTTCTTGATGGAATTAAGATGCCTTGAATCATCTAGGGTTTGTGTACTTAGAAAATAACAGCTCTAAGTACCTTCCTACATTTTCTCTCTCTTTTTTTTTTTTATTATTAAACAGATGTCTTCATTTTAATGCAAGAGAACATTTTACTGTTGTACAATCATGTTCTGGTGGTTTGTTTACAGGATATTCCAAAATAAAAGGACTCTGGAAGGTTCATTGAGGATAGAAGAAAGGGAAGATCTTTTAAACTCTCTGTTGACCACCAGTTATGTATTAGTTGCCAATACGCCAGCTTGGACATCAGTGTTTGTTGGATCCGTTTGACCAATTTGCACCAGTTTTTAAATCCATGACAGTGGATTTAACAGCATGACAAAAATTATTTTTTTGTTGTTCTTGATGGAATTAAGATGCCTTGAATCATCTAGGGTTTGTGTACTTAGAAAATAACAGCTCTAAGTACCTTCCTACATTTTCTCTCTCTTTTTTTTTTTTATTATTAAACAGATGTCTTCATTTTAATGCAAGAGAACATTTTACTGTTGTACAATCATGTTCTGGTGGTTTGTTTACAGGATATTCCAAAATAAAAGGACTCTGGAAGGTTTTCATTGAGGATGAATTGCCATAATATGATACAAACTATGCTTCTCTATGATAATTATAATACAGAGGTTCCATTCAGTGCAGCCTATACAATAATGTAATTTAGTCTAACACAGTTGACCCTATTTTTTGACACTTCCATTGTTTAAAAATACACATGGAAAAAAAAACCTATATGCTTACAGTGCACCTAGAGCTTTTTTATAACAACCTTTTTTTTTGTTTGTTTGTTTGTTTTGGATTCTTTATATATTATTCTCATTTAGTGCCCTCTTTAGCCAGAATCTCATTACTGCTTCATTTTTGTAATAACGTTTTATTTAGATATTTTCCATATATTGGCCCTGCTAAAATAGAATATAGCATCTTTCATATGGTAGAAACCAACAAGGAAACTTTCCCTTAACTCCCTTTTTACACTCTATGGTAAGTAGCAGGGGGAAAATGCATTTATAGATCATTTCTAGGCAAATCGTGAAGCTAACGACCAACCTGTTTCTACCTATACAGTCTCATTTATTTTACTAGAAATGGACATCATGGCCTCTTGAGGACAAAAAGTCACCATTCTGCATTTAGCTGTATCCATATACTGCATTTCTGTATTTTTTGTTTGTATTGTAAAAAATTCACATAATAAACAATGTTGTGATGTAATAGGGTGCAGAGTTCTGAATACTGTATAGCCGATACACGAGAATAGAACATGTTTTGGGGGAAAACTCTGAAGTTTGAAATTGCCACCTCCACAGTGGCCTCTCGTGTGTGTCGTGGAGAACGCGTGTATGCTGCTTCTCCTGCCTGAGAGTCCCCGTCTCTTATCTGTTACTGCCTCATTAAGGCATAAAATAAGCTGAGGCCTCTTTCCACTTTACTCATGTTAGGTGCACCCTTGAGCTCCTGGGGACAGACACTTTTTAAACTGAGAAGAGGAATGTTTTACCATGTCTGTTTACTTTTTAAATTAATGACCTAGGCAAAAGTAAGTAAATGTTCTAATTAGCCAATGTTTTTATTTAATTTAGAGGCTAGATATAAAATCAATATGCTTGAAAGTACTGCATTTCAAAGATATTCAGATCTAAATTTTAAAACATACTAGGAAAATTATCCTTCCAAGCAGAATCTTGACTTTACATAAAAAATTTCCCCAGGTAACTTAAAAGTAGATCTCATGATACATTATAGAAACATCATTATTCTTACTTGGTGGCCATCACTGCTTAAAAATTGCCATGCAAGTTCTGTTAGTCTTAAAATGTTAACCTGTTCATGGAAAATAGCATGGCTCTTTGTGGTTTTTTTGTTTGTTTTCGGGGGGTTATTTTTGGTTTTTTTGAGGGTATACAGGGGATTGAACTCAGGTCCTTGCACTTGTGAGGCAGGTGGCAGAACTACTGAGCCAAATCCCCAGCCCCAGTGTGGTGGTTCTTTTTTTTTTTTTTTTTTTTTTTTTTTTTTTTTTTTATTTTTTTCTTTTTTTTTCTTTTTTAAAGGACAAATCAGACTCTGTTTATTAAAAAAATACTTTACAGGGAAAAAAACCTCTATGCACTCCATTGTCCTATTTTACAAAGAAATAGCTTAACAATTTAACACACTTAGCTACAAAAAAGCACTGTGTTAAAAGGATTATTATTCACACAAATTTGGATTTAAGACTATTCATTAAAAGCCTTTTTAAAACATTTGTTAATGTCAGTAAACAAACTAAGGCCCCCAGTGTGGTTCTCTATAAATGACTTGTTCACTAGAGCAGAGTGTTACCCAAGAGCCTATACAAGGCGGAACTGTTAGTTTCTTCCTCCAGACTTACCAGAAGTATGGCTGTTATGCCAAGGCCAGGATCAAGGCTCAAGAATACCAACAACAAGGATTTTTGTTTTGTTTTGTTTTGTTTCCTGATCCTGTGTTAGGAGACCTTAGGTTAACACCCCTAGTCAAAGAGGTTCTGTTTTAGGGAGTTAAGAACCAGCTACTGAATTTCAAGAGGCAAAATGAAAAAGTTTATTTCGATTGCCTGCCTAACTAGTGAAATACTGCTGCTTCTGGGAAATAGTTCCCATTTTGAATTTGTGTATTTTGATGTATTGCTAATATACCTTTATTCTTTCATCCCAATGAAGATTCCCACAAGCCTTTATCCAAGTCCTGCCGGCCATTTTACCTGAATCTGGTGGAGGGACCTGTGTGATTTTCCTGGAACTCTTGACTGTTGACTGCAGGATTTTCGCACACACTGAGGGCCATTTTTCTGTATGGCCCATGGATTTCTGTGATTTTCTTGCTGCTCTCTAGTGAGGTTGACTGTTTAGCACCAATCCTATTGAACTGCTTGGTCACCTGGTGGTAGAGTTTTACTGCCACCTAGTGGAATGAGATCGTTGTTTCCTTATCAGATTCACATTGAACAGGTTCTGTTGGTAATGAATTAGATACATGCTCATTTCTCTGTAGCTCATGCTACAGTCTTGACAGCTGAAGAGAGACAGACTCATCATTTGGATTCTTGAGCCGGCTGTCACATTCCCACCTGCACATTCTGACCTGCTGCACCTTTCAAGAGTTTATCTTCTTTGGAAAACAGGTAGGAGTGGAGGTCAGGTGAGCAAAGAGAGCTGGCAAGATCCCTGCTTTGCAGCAAGAGACAAATACTGCCTTGGAGTCACTTGTGCCAGTGTCTCCAGACCTGATCCTGCTTCCTCATTAACATATTTCCTAGGGTATTTACAAAGGTGTGTAGAAAACTGAATGTCACAAGGCAGCTCAGAGGAGGGCATGGAAAGGCTCCCAGGCCCAGATGGGTTGGTAGCGCACCCACTCCACTCCCATTTCGAGTCTGCTGGCCTCAGCTGCACAAGGATAGTTAATGTTCTCGGTTACTGCTGCATCCCCAAGAAGGCCCCGTGAGGGGTGCTGTGACACCCTACTGGATGCGAAAGGAAAGTTTGCCCCTCCAGTGAACAGAAGTTCTTCCTCATGAACAGCTTGTAAGTGTGAGCAGAAGTGTCTGTAGTAACTCCATAACTGCTGATCAGATGGTAAGCTGTGCGCACACTATCTTGAATCTAAAATAACATTCTGTATACAGACATGGGCCCTCCGTGTCTAGGATGGTCCATGACTTGTCTACTGGTGGGGCTAGGGTGGGGCTGGTTTTGTTGACAAAGGGGCCTGTGTTCCCCCAGTCCCCCATCTGCCCTGCTGCACACCGAGGTGCCGTTTCTTCAGTTGGCACAAGCGGGTGCTCCTTGTCCTGCTGGTTCAGGGTCAGGACTCCAGTTGTGGCTGCCCGTGAGGGTGGTGTGCTGGGGCCATGGTTCGTCTTGTGTACAAGAGTTGGCTGCCTTTCCAGAGGAGTGGGTGGAGCTCCAAGTCTGGCTCTGCTGCCTTAGCTTTTTGGAGTTCATCAATGAACTGTACTTCCACATTGGGGTGCTCCACAGAAATGTGTTAGAAAATGCAGGTCATGCTGAGATGGTTGTCTCATTCATCACTGATGGAAACACTGCTGCTTATGAAGCCGACTCAGTTCCCATCACTTGAAATTAATCCATAGTGTCCGGAATTGAGGGCCTTTTTCAGCAGCAAATTGCTGGCAGTTTCCTGTGTCTGTCCAAAGCCTTTGGTGCTTCGTGAAAAGAATGGAGACTTTTTTTGGCCTGCACATTCACGCCAGGGGGTTCTGGGCCCAGCCAGCCAGCTTCGGGTCAGCAAAGGAGGGTGGGGTGAAAGGGGACCTTGTTCGTGCGAGGCCTGGGGTGGGGGTATCCTGGAGCCACACTGGCCCTGTAGAACCTTCCTCCTAGTGTTCATGGACCTGCTGGAATCCAGGGCCACTTAGCCGTCCTGAAGTCGGCTGGGGAGCGGAGCAGGTACCGCTTCAGAGGGTTCTGAAGAGGAGGCATAGATGGGGGCGGTGGATGCTGCTGGCCCACTTGGATTTTCGACTTGCCCTCGGTGAGGTGAACCCTGCCAAGCTCCCTGACCCCCAGGGGTGTTGCAGGGAGTGGCTTTGCCATGGGGCCCTCCAAGTAAATACAGGGTGTAGGTCCCTGTGTGGTAAAGGGCTGGCTCTGCTCGTGTAGGGGCTCTGCTCAAGTGAAATCGTTTGGCAACGACGACTTTTTCCCCTCATTTAATTCTGTTGTCTGGAATGTCACCGGTCTTTTTCGTATTTGAATACATGTTCCAGCGCAGTGCGGGCACAAAGTTCTGTCTTGGGCCATTGAGTTAAGCAACTTGGCAAATTGTGGGTGAAGCCACGGGCACCCTGGCGTGGCTCCTGGGCTTTAATGTGAGGCACCCACACACCTGTAAGCCTGCTTTCCAGAACCCTGGGAATACATTTTGTCTGGTTAGGACTAGGGGACCTGCCACCCAGCAGCACCCCCAGGATAAACCTCATAATGTGATCATACAGAGCCAGCTATAGCTTAGCACATTTTACTAGAAAATAAGTTGTCCAACACCTCAGACACAGTTCTTTCATTCAGACACCAAAGTGAAACCCTTGGCCTTGGAGCTGCTGGGCGGAGGTCCCAGGGGCTCAGATTGGCATTTTTCTCACCAGAACCTCTGTCTCCTCAGTGCCTGCTCAGAGGCAGCTGCATGGAATTCGGAGCAGGGGTCACTGAGGCAGAGTCACTAGTAACCATCCCTGCTGGGCCAAGCAGGGCCTGCGGAGCAGTCAGTCCTGAAGAGGGGACCAACCTCTCCAGCTTGTTCTGAACCCCAGACTTTGTCCTGCCAAATGCACCCACTTCGGCCACATTCACCGTTGGAAAACAGCTGTTTATCAAGGAAAGGGGGAGGACTTGCCTGGAAAAAGGGACGCAAACAAAATCAGAAAAATGCACCAACGGGTGCCTGGAGTGCGGGCTGTGTGTGAAATACCCAGAGTTCACAAATTCTCAGGGCTCATGAACATTCAGAGACGTGGCCATTTTTAACCCCTTTGCAAACAAGAGCAGACTGAAAGTAACTGTGTGGCCCCCGTATAATATTTATCCAGTGCACAGCAGGCTCCCCCGAGTTCAGGAACAATAACACCAAAAGCTCAATAAAACTGACAGCGTTTCTCAGCTCTGTGGGCAGAGTAGCAGGGCGGCTCCAGCCACAAAGATGCTGGCTGAGGCTGGAGGATCTGCTTCTGGGGTGTCTCTCAGATGTCACTATTACTGGGAGGACTCGGTCCCTGGGTGCAGGGACCTCTCTGCAGGGCTGCTTTAGAGGCCTTGTACTGCGGGGGTTAACTTTGCTCCAGAGCAAGAGATCCAAGAAAGAGCTGTGACCACAGCACTAAGTCCTGTCTCTGAGTTGTTCATCGGCCTCTGCCAAGGCTCCTGGGTTGCAGGAGGCAGATGCTTTGTCCTCTGCTCCTCTGT